TGTGTACATCATAAAAAATATTCCTAGATATCCACCAACAGATATTTGTACATATAATTACTTTGTCTCATTTTTTTTTAATTTTTGGAAAATTTTATTCTCTAACATTTCAATTTTTAGTTAAAACAAACATTTGTTAGATGAAAACTGTTAATTAACTAACGGTTAATCTATGTTTCTGACATAATATTTTCACATATTTTACTGATGTGGTAAATGTCTCATCATCATTTTGGTGACATGAATGTTATCATTTTAAATGACGTGACATATATTATATCATCATTTTAGGTGATATGAATGTTATCATTTCAGTAACACAAAATAATTCTTTGTGCAACCATTGGGTAGTTTTGTTGTAATGCCTAATTTATATTATTAATTATTTTTCGTTAAAATTTAAATTATTTATTTAGCTTATGCACATGTATTTAAAATTTGGTGATAATTTTAAAGTCTAGACAAAAATTTGATGCAATTAACTCTGATTTTAAAGCATGAACCAAACTATTTAGTGATTTAGGCTTATGGTTATCCCTTAAAACTTTGAGTTTGAACACCTCATATTTAGGCATATAAAGGTTTTGAGACTTTGATAAGATACTACTTTGTATTCACTGGATTGAAACTTGTGAATATATCCGATTATGTATTTGGGTCATGATATTCCATATCCCAAACTTCTTAATACTCTTTAATTCAGCATGGTCCAACCCAATAACGACAGAAGAAATAGAAATAATAATAAAGGTAAATTTTATAATGGTCATTGAAGTTTTTGGGTGTTTACATATTTGTTCGTTATATTTTTAAAACTTGTAATACAATAATCAATTTTTAAAAAAAATTGATAGTCATCATCAATCTTATAATACCGTTATAAAAATGAAAAAAAAATTAAACAAAAAAGGAATTATGACTGATTATGTTTTTAACAATCGTTTAAGAGATCGCATTGTATCGATAAAGGTTCAAGTTAACCTTCATATCAGAGTTATTCCATCCAACAATCAAAACCTTCTGATTTTCAATCTCAAAAACTAGATTTGTACGAGCTCGCATGAATGGCATAATCATCAAACTTGTAAATCCTAAGAATGTCTAATGGTACAAGTTTAATATTTTTATCGATAGCAGTATGGTAAGGCACCTTGAAATGTACTCAGAGTCTTGCGTTTCAATCATATAGAGTCTTGAAACATTATTGTAATTGGTTTTTCATAAGACCAGGTTGAACTTCAACTGAATTAAGAAGTGCAAAGCGTAGGATTCCAAGTAGGAGATGAACTAGTGCTTGATCGAGAATTTTGGGAAATTCTAAAGGAGAGGTAATTGGTAGAAATGTTTTGGGATGGTAATGTTTTTTAGTATGATGAGTGTTGTATTTAGTGTCGACAAGGATAGAAAGAACAACAAATAATTATAATACATACGAAAAAAAGTCAACGACTATCAATTTAAATATAAAAAGCTTTAATTTTAAGAAGAAGATTTTAACATGCTACATCATATTTTCTTAGTGGAAGTGATTGTAATAAAAGTGAATTAAAAATTCAGTATTATATTACACGTATTAAAAGTTAAGTAGTCAAAAATGAAAGCACCGTATAAGTATATGACCATTTATGTAGTTTATCCTAGTAATAAAAAGCCCTTATAATTTGAAAACACATGGCATCGGAGGCGTTGTGACTTTACACCCAATTAACTAGCCGTTAGATTTGAAATTAGAGAAGTTCTGTTTGCCTCTATTTAATTTGGTCCTTTTGTGTAAAAGAAAAGGAAAAAAAACCCCCAAAAACAAAAACCTGAACGGGAGAAAGAAAATAGAAAAGTGAGAGAGAGAGAGAGATCACCCCATTGCTGTCCATTTTCAAATGACAAATTTGGGTAATCTCTCTTCTTAATTTCATTTCCCCTTTTTTTCCGTGAAGTGAACATCAAAGGAGACGGGGTTTTTTATTGGAGTTCAAAGATCAAAGAGGAAAATTCTCTTGAGACAGGTTCTTGACTGTTTTCTTATCTAAGATGATTTGATTATTTCTTTAATGGGTCTTTAACATTTCTTTCAGTTTTAATCATTTAAAAAAATGATTTGTTTTAGTTTTGGTCGATGAGTCTTGATTTTGATGACCTTCATTAGGGGATTCTTATTCAATATATCTGTTGTATGTAGATACGGAATATATGGCTGGATCAGACGAGAACAATCCTGGAGTTATCGGAACCTCGCATCTTCAAGGTGACTGAAACCCATTTTTTTTCTGATAATTCATTTTGATGTTTAAATAACTATTCGAAATTCCAAGTTTTTAAAGAAACGTGTTTTCTTTTTAATTTCAAATAAAAGGGGGTTTGCCGGCGACCGGGCAGAATCGAAGAGCATTGGGCACAATTAATCGGGATGTACTTGGATGTCCACCTTTCCCATGCGCTGTCAAAAAGAGACCTTTATCTGAGTGAGTAATTTCTTAAATCCTCTCTGTTTAGTTGCCGAGAACAGAAAAGAAAGTATTCCCTTTTTTCCTTCCAGTTTGCTATTGTTGACTTTGTTTGTAATTCCTAAATAAGATACGAGTAAATGATGTAAATGAGTGGGGTTTCCCTTGGTATTCAAGGGGCCAAAAATGAGACTGCTTCTTTTTAATTAATTAATATAGTTTTGGATATATGCTTTTCTCAGCAGCAAGAAAAAAAATGAAGATTTGTAATCAAGGAATAGTGTTATTGTTCTTTGTCCATTTTCTTTTTGTGTTTTATTTCAGAAGGAATGAAATCTCTAATAAGATTCCATCCACGCATGTGCATAGACCTATTACTAGGTCAGTGAAATTTTCTTTAATGTTTTGTGATTTTTGTTTTGGTTTCCAGAAAAACATATTCTTCTTTTCCTTTTTGCTTATGGTTCTTTTTATCAGGAGGTTTGCTGCGAGATAGCTAACAAGCAGCAAATCAAAACCCAGGTACCAATTTTACAACGAGAATTTTTAGGTATCATTCAAACTTTGATGATAATGATTAGTTACTCTTACAGGTAATCAAGGAATCAGTCCTTCCAGTGCCAGTTCCAAATGAACCTGATGATTGCACTGTCATAGATTCGGATGACCCCAAGGCAAGTAAGGAATTGGATGTGCAGATGTTTGTGCAACAAGCTGAAGCTATGTCGGAGGAGATTGACAGGATGGTTCAGGACACCTCCCTTTACTGACTCATCGATCGATATTGTATTATGGTTTTGTTTGTTTTGAAAGGCACTGACGCTTTGCTTCCATTTGCAGGAGGTTGAAATGGAAGATATTGATGAAGAGCCTTTTCTGGACATTGACAACTGTGATAAAAATAACCCTCTTGCAGTTGTCGAGTACATTGATGATTTATACAAATTCTACAGGAAGGCAGAGGTGATTTCATGCTCCTTTTCAACTTAAATTGAGTAGTTAATAAGTGGTTGATTTTCTTAACTTTTTCCATTAATTTTTGCAGTGTATTAGTCTTGTTCCTCCAAACTATATGTCACAACAATGTGACATTAACGAAAGGATGAGAGCTATCCTCATTGACTGGCTGATAGAGGTAAGCGAAATGTTGCATTAATTGACACCGCTCCCTGTTATGAGATGAACCAGGTAGTAATTCAAATTCCATCATGAATTTGACAGGTTCATTACAAGTTTGAGCTGATGGGAGAAACCCTATATCTGACAGTCAATATAATCGATAGGTTTTTATCAGCTCATCAAGTAGTGAGGAAGAAACTTCAGCTGGTCGGAATAACAGCCGTGCTTATTGCCTGCAAATACGAAGAAGTTTCTGTTCCGGTTGTAGAGGATCTGATTCTGATTTCGGACAAGGCTTACGACAGGAGAGAAGTGCTCGACATGGTTTGCGATTTTGTGTTTTAAAATACATTGAATCTACAAGTAATAGGGGATGATACATATGCACACCTCTTGATTTGCAGGAGAGATTGATGATCAATACTTTACAATTCAATCTATCTTTTCCTACGCCGTATGTGTTTATGAGGAGATTTCTCAAAGCAGCTCAATCTAACAGGAAGGTTTGTGACCACAAAACATTGTCATTTTGCTTTTGTTATCCAACAATATTCATTAACCTTAGATGGTTTTAAATGTGACTTTTGAACCAGCTTGAGCTTCTTTCATTCTTCATGATCGAGCTTTGCCTAGTTGAGTATGAAATGCTCAAGTTTCCACCTTCTTTATTAGCCGCTGCTGCTATTTTCACTGCTCAGTGTACTATTGATGGTTAAAGCACTGGAGCAAGACCAGTGAGTGGTATACTAACTACTCGGTAGAGCAACTAATGTAAAGTCTTTTTGGCTCTTCTTCATAAGTACGCCATAAAGTTATGTTCTTGCAAGCTAAAAACTTACTTTTGTTATTTCTTGTTTTTTGGTGTAGGGATTGCTCAAGAATGATGGTAATTTTCCATCAGAAGGCAGGGTCAGGGAAACTTACAGGCATACACCACAAATACTGTACCTCAAAGTATGATTATGCTGCAAAAACTGAGCCAGCAACTTTTCTGTTGGAGACCAAATCCTAGCACAAACATAGAAGCATTGACTTGATTGATCAAACCCGGCCACCAAGTAGGAACCGGTGGGGATTAGGTGTAATCGAGCAACACAAGTTGGCCCCCCTGTGTTTATGATCATGATACTCTGGCTAGGTTTTTTCGTCCTCAGAAGTTTTCCTTTTTCTCTTTCCCAGAGATTATGTGATTTTCCTTCTCTTTCCCGGAGAGAAATAATTGTATTAGTGTTCTAGCAAGGTATCTATGAATAAAAGAACTAATTTGATATTATTTGAATTCCTTTCTTTATGCAAGCAATTAAAATCAGAACTGAAAACAGATGTGCTTCATCTTGTGAAATGTACCCGAGCCTTGTGAACTAAAAGCAATTAGAAATGAAAACAATATTGGTAGTTGTTCCATTTGAACACTGCAAATGAGCAGTCATTTGGATACGGGCAGAGTAACTTAACCTATATATAATTTCTTTTTTTCACATCAAATATGAAGAGTACAAATTTGGTTACACTAAAAAGGAATTTTCCAAGCAGCTTGCAACAATGAATGCTTCTTGAGCCACGGCCAGCAGCTTGAGCCTGCAGAACAAGAAATAATGAAGTTAAAGATCGAGAACTGATGCACAGACACACACAAGGACATTACAGAATAAACTTACTTTGGCTCGCACTGCAACAGCTCTACCTCTGCCAACTCCAAGAGATGAGCTCTTACCCTTAATCAAGTTACAAAACGAAGTCAGAAATAGTCCATTGAGTGTATAATGTCAGAAAACTGAAAACTTGCAAGTAAAATGTACCTTGATTTTAGCATCCAGACGTTTGAACATAGGAGCATTCTTCAACATATCTGGTATGACCATGAACCTGTTACAGTATATTTCCTATTAATAGTCAAACAAAGTTTGTCTGATGTCTAAACGCATCATAAACAACAGTACAAGGTGAGGGGGACGAGAAAGGGAAATGGTCATAGTACCTGACTTTACTGCCTCGGATGAAAACATGCTCAAGCTGCGAAACCTTTCCATCCTGAAGCCAAGCCAAAGCAATCATCATAAAATCAGTTTCAAATTTATGTAAACCAGAGGGAAGACGAAAACATGCTAGAGCCAAGGGGTATGACAGGATTTTGAGAAGGATTATGCACTTCTGAAAATGAGAGAAACATGCACTTCAATCACAATGAATTTTCTTGGAAATAAAAACGGGAACAAATAAATAGTAAAGAACCATAATGCAAGAAACTCGGAAACAGGGTTACTTCATTAAATCAGCGCACTACCTAACATTTGTAGGATATGATTTCAGTTCTAATTTGATTGAAATGGACAGAACAACACATAAACAAACCAACTGGAATAACATAACAACCAATAATCACAGTCAAAGTGAGTGATTGGCTAGTTATATCGTTGAATTCAAGCAGTAAACTCCTTCACCAGTTCCTTTCTCTCATAGGATTTAACATATTTATAAACTTAAGTCCGGGTCCAGATTCCGATACCTACATCTAAAAAAAATGTTTATACTAGCATTTTAAGGTTTATCACTAACACACCAAAAACAATAAACCTTGAACTAATCAGATCGAAATAACATAGAGGAATCAAATTCATTATGAAGCAACTAAAAAAACGGGGGAAGGAGAGTGTAAGGTACTTTAGCAGTGAAGGTGATATTCTCAAGCTGGCAATTCCAATTATCCTCGCACTCGACCATGCTTCCTCTGTAAAGCTCTCCACTCTTGAGTTCCACCGTTACAATGTGGCCCGACGCCTCATGTAGTAGCTTCACCGGTATGCCCAAGCTCCGACTCATTGTTTCTCGCTCGCCTGCTTTGCTTCTGTCAAGATCGCAAAACCCTAACGATGATACTCGGCTGGCTATTCACTGATTACTTCTCATTTTACACCCACTTCGGTTTAGATTTCGACCCAAAACTGGACGGTCTATTATTAACCCAATTGACTCTGCCCTGCTTGATGGGTCTTTTACTATGCCCTTTACCCAATTGAGTTTATAATGCTTTGCTTGCTCTGTTAGCCCAATTTAATAGATGTAACGCATCGCTGGAAAATGAAAGGGTAAACTACCTGTATACTCAGTAAACTATAGGGGTGACTTTATTTTAACCATATAACTATAAATTTTATCAATTAGGTCAAGTAAGACCAGATTAATGGAATATATAAATAATGATCATCAAATATATAATTATACAAATTTACTTAACTTCTATGTTAACATTTCAATTAACAATTAATGGTTTCATAACTTTAATGAAACCATTTTAATAATGACATGATGGTAGAAAATTATCCCTAATGTTTAACTTAATAGCCACTTTAGTTTTTATCTTATTTTTTGAGCATTTTAACCCATCGTTTCATTTTAAGACAAAATTTTTATAGTTGAATAGAAATCGTTAATTGATTAATGACCAGCGTTTGTTATTAATTTAACAAGTCTTGTGTCCAAAGTGATGATGTGACATGTCACATGTACATAAGTGATGACAAGTCTTATATGTTCAAAGTGATGACAAATCTTATATGTTCAAAGTGATGACATGATATGTATTATGTGTTCATAAGTGATGATGTCGTGCATGTGTACATAAGTAATGATATGAAACATATTACATATACATAAATAATGGCATGACACATGTCATATCATCACTTTGGACATATAAAACTTATCATTTCAACATGCTTAAAACTAGAGTCACCAAAGGATAAAATATATAATCATCACTAACAATTTTCATTAAACTAAGGGACATTTAGTTAAAAAAATAAAAATTTGGGTCAATTTTTTTAAAAAAAATAAGAGTTAAAGTGATTATTTTATTAAGGTGAATTTTAGCATTAAAGACTTAATGATTTAATTGACAAAATTCATAGTTCAGTGGTTAAAATAGAACGATCCTATAATTTTGTGACTATACAGGTAGTTTACTCAAAATGAAAACTCAAATTAAAATGGTAATTCTTAATGAAAGAAAAGGGTGAAGACGAAATATTTCGATCAAGGATTGCTGCTGCCGTATCTGATAAAGCAAGAATTAAGAAAGCTTAAGGTTTTGGACAGGAGAAGAGAATGGATGCTGCAAAGAACAAGTACAGTATAATAGTACCAACTTATAACGAGCGCCTCAACATTGCTCTCATCGTCTATCTCATCTTCAAACATCTCCGGTATGGCCCTAACAACTCCGGAATCTCTCCTTTTCTCTCTCTTTTTACATGGATCTCTTTCATCATAGTCTTTTTAGTGAGCACCAATCGGGTTCCGGTTACTTTTCTTAAATTCGCGCCATTTTCTTGTTCTCATCGGGCTTATGTTGTGGTTCTCCACGGTCTTTGAATTTTCTGTTGATTATATATGTAATTTTATATATCGTATTGTTTTCTTATTCTTGAAATGATTTGAATTCTATGATGGATGTAGAAAAATCGTTTACTAGGTGTTTGGTTGGAAGGAAAGAGTGTGAACATAAAATTCTACCACTGGCTGTGTGAAGCAGGACTTTAATCAATGATCCACTTATTGTCTTTGTAAATTGAAATTCCTATCTATATGTTAAAATTTCATAATAATTGTGTTTGTGGAAACTGAGTTTTCACTGAAATTGAGCTGACACCACAGAAGGGAAAACATTTTCTGATTTATAATCATCAAAATGAGTAGCAATGTTGCTACATAACACTCAGTAGATAAGTTAACAGAGATAGGTTTACCTATTTTAGAAAATCTTTCCTCCTATTCGTGATATCTTCGGATATAAGCTGTTGTTACTTATCATGCCTGGAGCAGGGATGTTGATTTTGAAATAATTGTTGTGGATGATGGGAGCCCTGATGGTACACAAGAAGTTGTGAAACATCTACAGAGACTGTATGGGGAAGATCGTATTGTAAGTTCCATGCTAATATACCTTCGAAATTTGATTCAGTTTACAGTCGGTTTTGCTAATTGATTCGTATGCTTACATCTACTTCTTTCCCCTTAATCATGCAGTTATTGAGACCGAGAGCTAAGAAGCTTGGATTGGGTAAGTGAAAATCATTCCCTTTCAGGAGTAATCTGCTGCTGGCCTTTGAATTGTTATTGGTTTCAGGAACGGCTTATATACATGGTTTGAAGCATGTATCTGGGAACTTTGTTGTAATCATGGATGCCGATCTATCACATCATGTAAGTGCAATGTTGTGTTTTATATGCCTCTTATACCAGTTAAATCCATTTACAACACTTCAGTGCCTATTTACCACCACACATGCTGATCTATTTCTTCAATCTCGTTTTGCAGCCGAAATACTTGCCAAGCTTCATCAAGTAAGAAATCCTTTGGTTGATCCATTTTGGGTTATAATTATGCCCGATTTGCTCAAATCCTTCTAACGTGCTGGTCCATGACATCTTTCAGGAAACAGCTGGAAACTGGTGCCAGTATAGTTACTGGAACACGATATGTCACAGGCGGTGGTGTGCATGGATGGAATCTGATGCGCAAGCTAACAAGTAGGGGAGCCAATGTTCTTGCACAGACTCTTTTGTGGCCTGGTGTTTCGGACTTAACTGGATCCTTCAGGTGTGAGAACTAGTCAACAGAAAATGGGCTATTTCATGCTGTTATAGCTTCAATATTTAGACCTAACATTTCTTTTGTTTCCTCTTCAAAAGGCTTTATAAGAAATCAGTGCTCGAAGATGTCATTTCCTCCTGTGTTAGCAAGGGATACGTATTTCAAATGGAGATGATTGTTAGGGCTTCAAGAAAAGGCTATCACATCGAAGAGGTAAACTTCATTTCATTAGTTGTACTCTTATGAACAAAGTTAACAGATATTCGAACCTGAGAGAACTTTCTTCTTGCACCGACTGTCAGTGAACTTGATGGTATTATACACCGTTAGTGCATCAAATACCCTTTTCCTATTTATCTTTCGACTGGAATTCACAATTGAAACTACCATCAACTCCTACATTTGAATGTCCTGCCCTGCAATTACCAGATAGTACAGAAACTATCTGCATTGGAGTTTGCTCATATGCTTTATACTCTATTTGGTTTTCGTCCCGTCCCCTGTTTCATCTTTAAGCCGCCTTCTCAATCTCATTGATTTGTTTTATACTGTCTACAGGTTCCGATAACTTTTGTTGACAGAGTATTTGGAAGTTCAAAACTCGGTGGATCTGAAATCGTTGAGTACCTAAAAGGCCTTATATATCTTATGATCACTACGTAGGACCTCAGTACATATAATAACCGGCACGAAAATCATCTTTATCTGTTTAAAGCGAGAAGTAGCCGACGACTGAAGGTGGAGACTCTGCAGCAAACAATTCTTACAGCTTGTTCTTGGAAGTTTCTTTGCAAACCCCGACTTTTGATGGCAATGTCTTTCCTTTATTTAGGTAGAACTCTATCAAGTATTCTGGTACTGGATTGTTGGTTAACAATGAAGAAGACGCATCGTCTTAACATTTGAAGTGTGTTATTTAACCACAGTTGACATTTAGTTCTGAATGGTTCAAAGTGCGATGTCATAGAGAAAGTTGTTAAAATGTTACAAGAGATTACAGAATACATTTATATAATAGGTAAAAAAATTTCATTATTTTTTCATCCAAGGGTAAGATTCAGTAGTTACTTTTTCGTTCATATGTACTTATATTGATCATCATCGTCCAAATATGTAGGATTTGAGATGATAAAAGATCAAGTTGGATCAAATTTTTTACTCATTCGATCTAATTCAAGAAGTATAGCTCTTTCTTCTGAATTCTACTTGATTCGATTTTGAGACATTTCATCTAATCTGAAATTCAATCTGAAATTATTATTATATCTTAAATTTAACTTGATTTTGATTGAATTTTTATTCAATTGATATTATTATTGTAATATCTTAAATGTTGTTTGTGAATACACTTAATATATAATGGTTCACCATTCAAAAACATTTATATAATGATCCATTATTTTTTTTCATTCAAGGTTAAGATTCAATCAAATTAAGTAATTTTTATAATAAAAGAAAATATAATTTTGTTATGTCACTGGATTTTGAGTAACTATATTTATAAAATGTAAATGTTTTTAACATATATTATATTTATAATCACCCCAAATTATACTTTAAAATGTAAGATAATTGAATACACCATCGATTGAGGATCGAATAGTTTAATTATTGTATTAAAAATTATAAAAAGAATGTCATTATCTTTTTAACCTATAAAAACAATAATTAATCTGTTAAAAAAAACTGCAAATTCCAGTCATCTAGTGAAAGTATATACTGTACTATATATTCCCAGAAAAACTAAATGGAAATTAACAGAGAAGCCCGCCCGTCCATCGCAGCAATCGCAGAGTCAGCGTTATTCTTCTGATTTTATCTGCGATGGGTGGTTCATTTCTTATCGTCTATTATCTCCTCTCCGTTTCTTTTTCATTGCCAATTCCCTCTATTGCAATCGCTAGCACAGATGCTGATCTCGCTCAACCTTCTTTTATTCCTATCAACCGGGATCTTTACCATTCCAGGTATGTTTTTCTCTTTTTTCTTCATTGCTATTACTTTTAATTCTTTTTTTCTTCAATGTGATTAAAAAGATTTCTATCTCTTAATGGCGTTCGATTTAATTTGAAAAATACAGCATCGTCAAATTGAGTAGGATAGAGTTCGACTTTTTAAATTTTTCTATCACATTTTGGCGGATGAACGAATCTTTTGAATCCAAGAAAGAATTAATATAGTAGGTTTGCTGCAAATTCGTTCGTGAAATAGATAAGCTTGAAATACAGCTTACAGTGAGAAATCTTAGTAGATTCGAGTAGAGTGATCTCTATGTAAATTTGTTATCGATGCTCCAAGTAGGGAGATTTCTATAAGAAGATGTGTTCTCGATACTTCCTTAGCCTGCTGTTGTCAAATTTGATGTGTGATCTTTCTTTCAAGCAGAGATTCCAAGCCTTAAACCTCCAGATCAATTTTAGGGAATTACATGCTATACTCGCTGTTTTGAGATTAATTTGGCATGGTGGAATCTGCAATAATTGAATGTCAATTTTGGCCCTTCTGCCATACTTTTTTAAGTTGAGTGTTTTTTAGATCTAGACATGAGAACAAAAGGAGTAACAGTCCAAGTGTAGACTGGAAGAACAAAATGAACTAATCTAGTCAAGACTGTTGAAATGGTTGGAAGAATCTAATTCAGAATGTCCAATTATTCCTTTCAATCCTTGTTTTAAAAGTACCGCTGAACTTTGGAGTTCAGAGTTTTTTTTATCATGTTTTAATTTACTTTATATTATTTTTGCAGTGATGCTTTGATTGAACAAATAAAGTCGTTGGTTCATCGACACCCTGACAAACTCACTGTAGGTGAACTACATCTTATATTTGGAAACAATTTTCGTATGAGAATTTGGTTTTATATTATTCATACCATAAACAGGTAGAAACAATTAGAGCTGGAAACAAAGGGTACAAGTCAGAGATAACTGTTGTTACTTATTGCCACAGTAGGAAAGACAGCGATGACAAATCCAAGTTCCGGATCCTTCTTGTAAGTTCCTGCATAATCATATTTGGTAAATAGTATGGCAAGAACAATTGATGGTTTGCCTTGTAGTTATTAAAGATGGTAATTGATTGAACCCACTGCTTAAATTTCCACACAATCAATGTATCTGCTAACCTTTTCTTATCTGTTACGTAGTTAATATATGATCTCAGATTAGTACTTGCTGGTTTTCTTGACAGATTATTCATTGTCTTCCAGAGTTTTGGGCAGCATGGACGGGAGCTTATTACATCTGAACTGGCATTGCGGATCTTGTCCATCTTAAGTGAAGAACAGTTTCTACCGAAAATGGATCGAGCTTCCTTAAATAGTACCCTCGAGAATGTTGTCGTAAAGGTAACTTTTTTTACTTGCAAGAACATCCCTGGCTTTTGTTGGGCCTTTGTATAGTGAAGTGACTTGTTTATGAAAATTTAGTTTACTCAAACTTCAACTATGACCTCGCTGCAGGAGGAAGTATGAATAAGATTTTTTTTACTGAATACTAGCATGTGATGCTAGATTGCTTGAGAGATACAATATACAGACCATTTACAACTTGAGTGCTAACCTTCAATAATATGGCAGGTAGTGCCAATGGAGAATCTAAACGGTCGGAAGCTTGTTGAAGCAGGAAATCTTTGTGAAAGGAGAAATGGTAATTCAATTTTATCTTAATGTTATAAATATCTATGATCTTGTGATAAGAAGTTGAAATGTTTAAATTGGGTTTCTTTGGCAGGGAGAGGAGTGATCTTAATAGGAATTGGAGTGTAGATTGGGGAAAGAAGGAGAAGGTTCATCATTTCTCCCTTTCCTTCATGCAAATCCTCTTTGATGTAGTTCTTACTACAGTTTCATGTTAATTTGTATCTCCATTAAGATTATGCTATTTTTCATTCAAATATTTTGTTCGATATAGGATTATGATCCATATGAAGAGAATCCTGGAATTGCTCCTTTTAGTGAGCCTGAGACCCAAATCATGCGGAAGCTTGCCGTATCATTCGATCCTCACATATGGATTAATGTACACTCTGGAATGGAGGTGAGTGATCATGAATTGCATGTTAACAATTCTTCCTTTTTACTTTAAGTACTGATTTTCCTTTAACTATTGTGCAACCCTTAAGCTATTATTTTCTATGATTGCAGCATAAAGTACCTTTTTTGGACATTGAACCTCTAGGAGATATTTAGATTCACTAATAGGAATTTTTCTTTTACCTATTGTGAAGAGGAATCAATCCTGCCGGTTCAGTATGCATCCACACATGACAAAAAATATAAAATCTTATATATAAAGTGATATTAATCCATAATCAAGAGAAAACTTTGGATGTGTAATCCTGTAAAACGTTGCTTTATGCTTTTTGTATTTGCCTTTTCCCTTGGAAATAGGTCAGATTTGTTGCCTAAATGACACGTTTTTGATTTAATTCATGTAGGCACTATTTATGCCATATGACCACAAAAACAGAACCCCGGATGGATTGCCTTCTCAGCAAATGAGATTGTTGCTTGAAGAGCTGAATAATGTTCATTGCCACAACCGTTGCATGATTGGTTCTGGTGGAGGTTCTGTCGGGTTTGTATTCCTATACTTGAAGCAATGATAATAAGTCATGCTAGTTATAATATTCATATACTATTTACTTGTAATACTCCAATAATTTGAGTGATAGGATCAGTCTTCAATAAAGCTTTTGGCATTGGCAATTAATCATTTTACTAGTAGTGTAAATAGTTCATGACAATGAATCAATCCTAAAATACGTTTTTGTACTAGAACACTATAGTTCAATGAGTTGCTGATATATATGCAAGCAAAATCATCAAATTAGAAGTCTTTCGAACAGGGGTTTTAATGGAAACCTTTCTGTTTTTCTCATCAAAATCATGCACTTAATAGCAAAATGTCCTATTGGACCAGCCGGTTGAACCCGTCATACCGGTAGTACCACAAAGCGACCACTGGTCCAATGTCTTATCTAGTTTCAAAAACATTGTTAAAAGTTGAAAAAAAAAGTCGTCTTTATATTTTTCTTGTTTTTCATGCAATTTCGTTCCACTAAGATATGAATGTTACTGATTTCAGGTATCTGGCACATGGGACAGCAACAGATTACATGTATGATGTTGTAAGAGTCCCCATGCCATTCACCTTTGAGGTATTTGAATTGAAAACTCTCTTTCCACAAATAAAAAATAGAAAATAAAGCGAATTTATATCATTAATAGCCATACTTGCATGTTGGGTGTCAGATCTATGGAGATAGTACGGCCACAACAAAAGACTGCTTTAAAATGTTCAATCCTGTTGACCATACCACCTTCAAGGTATGTTAATTTGCCCCTTTTACTAGTTGGTGTATCGGTAACAACTAAACAAAGATTTTCTGGGTTTTCAGAGAGTTCTCAATGATTGGGCTGCTGCTTTTTTCACAATATTTAAGCTGGAACCACGTCAGATTGATGTCCAGTCCAAGGCACATAAGGTGGATAAATGGGTGTCCATTGACGACTACTTCGATGCTTAATGGGAAGGAGAAACAGATATGGGAAGAAGATGGAGGTTCTCGAGGTCGGAATGCAGGAAATAAGAACGTATTTCAGACTTTTCTTGCTGTCATCGGTATTGTTATTGTTCATGTTCTGTTCTCGAATTTCAAAAACCGGCAGACAAATCGTTTCGGCCATTCCTCTGTGAATTTTTACGTCAGATACGAACTCAGAACAACGGCACAAGAATGTTGTGATTTTGTACACGTTAATTAGATGCCTCCTTTTTTGTATGTCGATTACATTCTTCTTAGATACTGTAGATATTACTTTTACCATTTCCGGTGTATCAAAGCTAATTCTTGTTAGCAAATTAAGCCACAAGCTGAAGCTATTGACTACATTACTCTTTATTTTTTTTTGATATTTCAATGTTTATTTTATGATTCACGTTTGTTCCAGTGTTTGCAGGCATGTCAACAAATATTATTTCTTCTATAAAACGAAATTTGGAGAACACAGGTTAAAGTACATTTTGAATATTGTTTTCTATAGAATGTTTCTTGTTATGATGTATGATACACAAGATACAATGTTCCTATTTCGAAATGGTGTCTGACCCAAATGCAAAGATGAGAAGGGCGGATTTCTTCATGTTATATGGCTAATAGTCCTAACGTATGGCTAATATTCCTCATTCCAAGCTTTGGAACACGGCTCGTATAGTTCGATCTCTCCGACGATTCACACAAGGATGACCCTGCATGGCAACATGAATAGATTGTTCCTGCAAAAAGTTTATGAAGGGGGAAAAAGTTTACTGGATGCAGCAGAAGATTCCCAGGTAGGTTAAAAGTGTCCATTCACCAATACAGAAAAAAAAAATCTTTGAAAGTTCTTTTAACTGAGGAACTTGTGAGCCGAAACCGCGAGGAAAACTTGCTCGCTCGCTTTCATTATGGCATTATACAAAACGTCTGTACATCAAAAGATAATGAATACTAACCTCAAATTGACAAGTCAAACAACAATTTGTCATAAATTGCTTTAGTCATACGGATTATGGATTGTTAACTACGACTTCACTGCTTGCTTCATGTATCTCAGAGCAGACCGCAACATTGCCCTAGCTTTCCTATCAGGGGTGCAACCAGACAAAATCATCTCTTCAAAGACCGACGGGACCTGAATTCAAACCACACAGGGTATCAATAACAAAACACGAATGTTAATTATGAACAGATGACATGGTGTAATGCATTACATCCACAACAACTAAGATAGAAGCAGCGTTGATTAGATCAATACCACAAATTTATTCGATCTTTCAGTGATTTAGTGAAAATGACAAATAGAAAAACTTGAATCAATGTGCTATATGCAAAAGAACAGACACAGAAGGTGTGGGAGATAGTCAGATGTCAGTAAGATGCAGGTTTATAGTTGTTTTCTTTTGAGGGTTACTTACAACCATTATCCAACATATAAATAGCAAGAACACAAAAACAGCAAAAAGCAAAGACAATAGGCAACTGATCCAAATGCCTATGTATGCAAAGACAAAAATATTATTTATGATACAGGAAAGCAGCGGGCTAATATCTCATTCTCATAGAAGAAAGGACATGTTAATAAATACCTTATGGAACTTGTCAACACGGATAAGAGCTTTCATAAGCGTGGTATATGTGACTACATCCGGTTTTACTCCCTGTACATGAATCGAACCAGATAACAGTGTCATAAGTATCACTCAAAAGAATAGCACTGATAATTTTAAACCAGGCAAAAGGAGGGAACAGGGTACTCACATTTTCCTTCATATATGCAATACAGCAAATGCCTCGGCATCCCTTCTATCCTCACCAAAAGCATTTATTAGTGAATTGAGAGCCAAGAGATTAGGTTTCAAGCCATCTGCTCCCATAACCCTCAATGCATTCATTGCTTGCTCAGATAAACCCTGTTTAAAAGCAAACAGAAGATAATAAAGGTATGCTACAAAATGATTGTCCCTCTTTCCCATATGTATGGGGTAAGAGGGAGGTAAAATAGTAGGCTACCCCCAACACCAGGTTGAGAGCAGCTTCCGTAAGAGACCTCCGAATTATGAAATGCCCTTCGTGGGACTCGATCCCACGACCTCAAGGTTAAGAACCTTGTGCTCTACCAACTGAGCTGGATGATCATATGATATAGCTAAACCTCAAACCTTTTAAGTAGAATAATGAACTGACAGAGCAATGGAAAATGCAGCCTTTGTGACAAGCAGATCATTAGACTGGTATATGTTATTGAGACTACATAGACTCAGATAACCCTGACTAAGCATTTTGACTCACTTGCCAAAATTATACCTGGCACCTTTCCCAACCAGTTCCTACTAACCAGGAATCATGCACAAGAATTATCATGATATAGAACGTATTGAAGATGATCTGAACTCTCAACTCATCTATATACTATGAACTCACTAACTCATAATGGCACTATGAGAAGCACATAACTCTGCCTCCCACTGGTGGAGAATATATACCAACATGAATTTACAATTAAGGCAGCTGCAACCAACTCTACAGCCAACGAATTGATTAAAGAATACATATCGTAGCAATTCATGAGTCAGGTTAAGCACGAAATTCCAGCCTAACTGGAGAGAAAGAGAATTGAAACAATGATAGTATAACTTACCCTTTGTGCATATGCATTTATTAAGGCATTATACATGGTTGAGGAAGGTTTTAGTCCAGCAGATTTCATGTGCTCCAAGCACTCTATGGCATCACTAAACCTCCCAGACTTTCCATAAATATCTACAAGTGTGGTATATGTTACAATATTAGCAACAAGCCTTCGGCCTGCATCTTCCCCAACAAGCTCTTCACATCGTCCCACCTTTCCTGCTCTCCTAATGAATTTATCATAATATTATAAGTTGTAGTACATGGTGAATACTCTTTTTCTTTCATTTCCTCAAACAATTGATCCGCTCTGTCATGCCACCCTGCTTTACAGTGGCAATCTATTAGCGTATTCCAAGTAACAGTATCTGGCTCGATCCCCTCTGATAGCATCCGATCAAATGTGGCCATGGCATGATCAAGACAGTTATACTTCCCAAAAGTATCAATCATGACATTATAAAAATGTCTATCAGGTTGTATCCCATTACTCTTCATTTCCCTCAAAACCTGGAACGATCTTTGCCATTCTCCTTTGTTTCGATAACTAGCTAAAATCCTACTATAAACAAAAGAATTCGGCTTCACATTATTGGCTTGCATCTCTTTCAATACAATTCTTGCACTCTCCCATCTATCGGCATTCGAATAAGCATCAATTAGAAGACTATATGTATGCTCATCAGGTGAAACCCACTTCTCTCCATCTCGGAGACAACTAACTCAGCATCTTTCAGAGAACCCGCTTTCACATACCCTTTAAGAAGCGCATTATAAGCTCTGGTTCTAGGCTTCAATCCACTTCCTTTCATTTCCTCAAAACAGCTTCAGCCTCTGCAATCCTCCCACAACAGCTTAAGGAATAAATGACCGCCACTAGCGTAGCCGTTTTCGGGCTCAGACCAATTGCTTGCGCCGTAGCTAAAAACTTTAGAGCACGGCTTGGATCATTCGCTTTAGCGAAACCGACGATTATATCATTCAAAAGTTGCCCATCTACCTCAATTCTATCACACTCAATTTCCCCATAAAGCTTCTGTAGAAGAGATGAATCAATCTTGTTGTTCCTAGTAAGCGATTGAATGATCAAACTGTAATTCACGAAATCAGATTGATAACCATTTTGACGCATTCTCGACATGAGATTAAGAGCCTTCTCCAGATCGTTGTTGCGGGCGCACGCGTTGATTAAAGCATTATACGTTAAGGGAGTAAGGGTCTGCCTCTGAGAGAGTAAAAACGCTTCGTATAGCTTCTCGGAGCGGCCAAGCGCGTGGATTAGAATTGAGTAAAGAAGTTCGTAAGAAAAACAAAGGTTGTGTCTTTGAAGCCACGAAACGACAGCGTAAGCTAAGTTGATAGAAGATGAAGAAGAGGAAGATGACGAAGAGTCGCATAGAGATTTCAATAGAGAGTGCCAGAGCGGAGCAGGAACTGCGCGGTATGACTCGGCCAACTGGAATTCGATAGGGTCGAGTGAAGTGGGGGAGACTGAGTCGGAGTCCGAGTCAGACGCCGACTTGGAGCGCGAGAGGTAGTTGAGTAACGGAGTGAAGTCGTAACGGCGCCTGTGAAGAGAAAGAACATCATTCTGGTCATCATTTTCATCTCCATACATGTCTCTACCTCTCTCTTTATCGACTGAGAGACTGACGGAGGTTTCGGCGGCGGAGGCTGAGCATTGGGATGTTTGGAGGCTGAGGTGGAGGCGCGTGTTTGGTGAAGATAATTGAATAGAAGGGAAACGCGCGGGGAGCGGTGTCGGCAGCAAAAGCATTTCTTATTCTTAATTTCTGCGTCGTTAGGGAGACGAAAGAGAGTGGCCTTTTATCGGTTCTTCGGCGGTTAGTTTTGTGGTGGTGACCGTAGCGAAGCAGATATTTTTCCCTTTTCTTTTCAAATAATAATTTTTTCTTTGACGTCAAAGAAATGGGTCTGCTCATGGCCCAATTTTTTTTTGAGTAAACTACGTATTTAGTCATCCAGTTATTAGTGCAGTTCTGTTTTGATCATTCAATAATTATTTTTTAAAAATCATGTCTAACATTACATTTTGATTTCATTGGTCACTAGCCGTTAAAAAAATAATGATGATAGTAATGAAACATCACCATTTAAGAAAAAAAAAAGTTATGTTAGCAGTTATGTTAATTTTTTAATGGTGAGTGACCAAAATAAAACCAAAACTTAACGTAGATATGATTTTGAAAAAAATAATTAGGTGACTGAATACGTAGTTTACCCTAATTTTTTTATGTATGGTTGTTAAATTAAAATGATAAAATTTATAAATGTGAAGAGTTAAATATTTTAGTTTATTTAAAATTAAAATTAAGTTATATATTGTATAAATAGTATATATTAAATGTGTTATTATATTATTAAAAGTTATTAAATTTATTAATTGTTTATTAATGTATTAATGAAATGATTAATATTTATAAAATCATTGACAAAATTAATAATTTAATTCGATAATTAAACAAAACATTAAGTCATTGATATGATAGTTTACCTTTTGTATATTGTCGGAACCGTCTTTCGGTTGGGCCCCGAAATCGGGTTTTGACTTTGATTAAACGAATTGGAGTCGCCACCGACCACTCCAAAACGAATTTAAGTGGGTCGGACACCATCTTACATGATATGCATTGTACCAGAAACATGTCGGGTTCAGGAGTCGGTTACGGTCAATGAAGGATTAGCACCCTTGAACCGCCCGTTCGGTACCAATTAATTTACCGGTTGTCTTTAAATGCGAATATTAAAATTTAAATTGAAATTTAGAAATCTTATTCGAATTACTTACTTTTGATTGGTTTAAATGAAGACCTTTAAAAGATAGAAATGTTAGATGGTAAAATAATAATTAAATATTTAAAAAAAACCCAAACAATAGAATAAGTAATCAAAACAAATAAAAAAAATAGAAAATAAAAAGACGAAATTGAATATATAAAAAATGGTTTTAAAAAGGATGTTAATTAGTGACTAAAATAAAACCTGCATAAAATCTTAGGGCATATTCAAAAATATATAACTTGGGACTAAAATATACGCATAATAAATTAAAATTCCGAATTAAAGTACTGAAAAATGAAATTCAGTGACCAAAGTACAAATATGACAATACCTAATGGTTGAAGACTAAGTTTACCCCTCCATAAATTACACTGAAGTCTCTCCCCAAAACGTCGTCGTTTTGAGAAGGGTATAAATAACCCCAAAAACGGGCCATTAAAGCCCCAAGCTTTCATTTGCTCTCTTTGCTCTCTCTCTCTTCAAATGAGAGAACATAGGTTCTCTCTACCCTCTCTCTACATTTCTTACCAGAGCGCCGCCGACCGCCGCCCCAAAACACCCCGAAACACTCACTTTACCCTCGAGATCCTAAATATAAACCCTAAATCAACAAAGCAAGCCCCGATATTTGCAAATCTACTGAAATACCCCCGGTTCTCACCTTTTTTCCGGCGACCTTTTGAACTTTCGATGGGTTTTCCTCTTCGAGCCGAGACTTCACACCGCCTTCTTCCTTTTGTTGGTTGTTTCTGATGTTTTGTTTTGCGTTTATTGTTTGTGTTTTGCCCTTGGTTGATGGTTGCTCACTGCTTGGTTTTTGTTGTGACTGTTGGTATTGTTAGTTTCGACGATGGTTGTGTTGTGTTGTTAATCGGTGTAGATGCCGTGTGTATTATTGTGTAGTCCCCTGTTGATGATTCTCTGTCTATATTTATAATGCCCCGACGGGGACTGTTTCTGGCTATCTTGGGGTCGATCCCGGATTATTCGGGGTTGTTCTTGTTACGGGCTATTGTGATTCCTTGTTTCACGTCGGCCGCCTCGGGATGATTCAGTCCCGTTGGCGTGGCCGGAAAGTGCGATGGGTGTTGACTGTATTGTTGGCTCGATGATGCTTGAGATTGCTTCTGGCCGTTGGATTGGGTCAGATCCAACGGTCCAGATCTGCCTGGACAAATGATGTTTGAGGGTTTGTAAGCCCTAATCCCTTACTACAGCACTGTTAGAACCCCAATCTAAACTATAGGATGCCTGAGTTGGGTTCATCCTTGGACCATTTGGACCATACCTTTGGACCTGAACCAGAAGAAAGAAAAATAAATAAATAAATGAGAAATAATAATAAATAATAATAATAATACATATGAAAAATATTTTAAAAACAATATAATATAAATTTTTTAAAAATGTTTCTTTTAAAACTATATATTATATATAAATTTTCAAAAATGTTTTTAAAAAAACTATATAATTTTCAAAAATGTTTTTTTTAAACTATATAATTTCCAAAAATGTTTTTAAAATTATATATTATATAAGTTTTAAAAACATTTTCAAAAACTATATATTATAAGTTTTAAAAATGCTTTTTAAAAATCATATATTATATATATTTTCTAAAATATTTTAAAAACTATATATTATATAGTTTTCAAAAATGTTTTAGAAAAACTATATATTATATACATATTTTCAAAAAACCGTCTGCAAACTATAATATATATATGTATACAATAATAAAAATGTGAACGGAAATCCTGATAGTGAAAGGAGGAAAAAATGCCTCAAATTTATTAAATTAATTCGAAAAGAGGTTCGAAATAAAATATATTTGACTCCTCAATTCTTTTATACAATGTTTAAATTATCTAGATATTTGTATTAATAAATTGAAAAAATATTAAAAGTTAAAGTATATTCAATTTTATTTTCTCTTGTATATTATAACTTTTCTTATTACTAATGAAGATTGGATTTGTTTCCTTTTGGCGAGTGTATATGCTACTCTGATTATCAAATGTTTTACTTCAAATAAAGTTAAAACTTCAAATGTTTTTAATTTTAATTATTTCATATGTTTTTATTTGATTTTATATAAAATATAAGTTTCACTTCCAAATGTTTTAATTATAGTTACAGAAGTTTCATACATGTTTTTCTTTTTGGATTAATTCCAAATTTATATACCATTTTTACAAAAAAAAAAAATTAAATAAAAGTGAATACTCTTACTATATTTACTCTTAAAATTTTATTGAAAAAGTAAATAGTTTGTATATTACCGTCACATGACTTTAAATAAATTTTGTATTTATTCATATCATCAATAATATTATCATATTGTTCTAGAGGATTTTCAATGGAAAAAAAAGTAATATAAAAAATAATGTCTCAAAATTAAACTATTTTTAAAATAGTACCCCTAGCATATTGAAACATTTCCCAAAAGGTATTGGTCGCATGCATGGAGAAATCTCAATAATGGAAACACTTTGTGGTCAATAACCACTCCAACCTTTATGTCTTTTGATCACTACTACATGATGGATGCTCCCAAAAGGTCCTTGCCACCATGAACAGGCAATATCTGTCACCTCTTCCTTTCTGATCTCCATTTATACACTGGCTTGGAGGTTGGACATGTCAACTCATCTTCTCGGAGTTTGCGCTTCCGGCCCTTTTCTGTCCCATTCAATCAAATCGAAAGTTTACATGCATTGCTCACGTTATATCTATATTTTAAAGTTATCAAAAACTTCAAAACGTTTTAATAGAGATCTCAAAATACGAGTATTATGTCAATCATGGCCTTCTATCAACCTAATGTCAACTTAAGCATTAATGTCAACCCAAATATGACGTAGTGTATATTAAAAACACGTGAATACCTATTGCATGAACAACCTGAATCTAATATGTTAAAAATACAAACATGTGATTAGAATTAGGACTGTTTCAATTTTTTAGTACATTAGACTCGAGCTATCCATACAATAGGTACAATTATGTTTTAAATTTGATCTACTTTTTTAAATATGCTCATCGTCAAACCAAAGATAACATTTAACAACTAAACTGATTACCAGAGTAACAGAAATATTTTATTATTACGACGCTGATACTTTGAAAATTCAACTAAAACGCTATGAAGTTATGACTAATTTAGAATCTGGGGTATGGTCCCATACCTGTAATTCCTTCTTCAGGGACATTTCCATATATAGTTTCTCCAACTGATTCACTCTACTCTTCCTGGCCTCTAATTCCCTGTACGAAGTAGCAGTCTTCCTACACGTGAAAGGGAAAAAAATGTGAAGATGTGTAAACATGACCAAGATGAAGACAATTTTGGCAGTGATAAGTTAGCACAAGATGGGAAAATTCTATAATATTACAATCAATCATGGCTTACGTATTAAAAGGCAAGAAAATAATGCTTTTAAGGTTGAAATGAACAGCAGTAATTAGGATTTAATGATTGATTAACAGAAAAGGGTTGAAATTAAATGAAATGGGGCAGGTGGAAAATAGTATCCGTAGGGAATTTTAAGAGTATTCAAGATCATAACATTTTCTCTATTAATCAAAATAAGTTACAAACATATAGAGGTATATTCATCTTTAGGATAGTAAATGTATTCATGGATGCATTTCCCCTATTATAGAAGCTTTTTTTTAATAGAAACCTAATGTGATGCGACTAAGAGCTTTATATGATAAGTTCCAGAAATGCTAAAAATTCAGACTAGTGCTTGAAACTGAAGAAAACAAGAAATACAATGCAATCTATAACTCTTGATCAAAGATAAAAAGTTGAACAAACAAAATTTATATATATAATGGTCCTAGATAAGTCCAGCATGCAAATGTCAAATTCCAAGTCATTTATATTTTAACTTAATGATAACTTAATCATTTTTGTACATTATCTCTCCTCAAGCAGTAAGTTCTAAAGTACTCGGTCCACCAGCAACAAACAGAGCCCAAGATGACTATATCTAAAGGCAAGAAGACTATTTCACTAAACCGCATAAAGCAGCAATTTGACAACCAATATGCATAGCACATCCATCTAGTAAAAATCAATTTAGAAGAGGATGAGACGAAGAAATTTCATCTAAAATCATATATATTTTCCAATAAAGTTCCAAATATATGACTTTATTACAGATTATTCGGTCAAAACTAAAAAGCATCTCATTGCCAAAATCAACAAATCGAATAAAGAGTGATTGCTTTAGAGATAACCTTTTCCAATCTCTAATGAATATTAGCTTTAGAAATTGCATTGGTTTTAAAAAGTAAACTGACTTCATAGGTCAACACACTTGGATGGCCAATCCAGTTATTCACTAAACACTAAGTAAAATATAAGTCAATTAACTAACCTTTTAATATGATCAGGGATATCACCAGAAAGGAGAGTAACTTTGCTTTCTAAAGCTTGTGATTGTAATTCTCTAGCTTCTTCCCTGTAAAAAATAATTTATATTAATACATATTTTTATATTTCACAACAATATATAATATCAATGATTAAAAAATTTACTATGATTCATCCGAAGATCATTTGTTTCTTTTTTCCCTGTTTCTGAAGATGAAGAGAACATGTACTACTAAACTGCTCTATATCTTAGGGATTAAGATTTCAACTAGTTTTACCAGTTCAACAACCATGTCAATGTGTAGCAAACAGAGATGAAAAATCAGAGTAATTGTTCTAATCAGAGAAAGCAAAAGCAAGCAATTTCAACTGTATTTGCATTACAAGTGTTAATGGTTAAACATTATTTTTACTTTTATGAAAGAAGTATCCTGAAGGGAAAAAGTAGGACAAGATCACAAGATAATATGAAGAAAAGACAGCATGTGGATGAATTAGTTGGCTATTGAGTCAAACAAGGTTGTGTTTTGAATAATGGTTAATCTTGCATGCATTAAACTGCGTTTCAGGTAGATCTTGTGTTTCATAATTCAAACATTATACATGGCCATCTAGCGCATCAATTTCATTAATACTAAATAAATAACACACTACATGAAGAATAGAAAGGAATATATATATATATATATATATATATATATGCATATTCACTGGTATGGTCCTATAATCATGAACCTATTTCTTTCAGAGAAATTCATTAAGAAGAGCTTTGTAATAAAAATACTCGAGATTCTTTTAATAACACTTTCTAGCATAATACAACCAATAATAATGAAACAATTAGGCTGTCGACCATGTATACCGCAAAAGAACTAAGTTCTATACCCTGTTCCCTAACCAGTAATACAAGCACGCCGTACCATACAACTATTAACTAGTAATGAATGATATCCATCTACCTATAACCTATCTAATTTTCGTCCATCTCATTAAGATAGACGTACACATGTACAATCTCAGCCATAATTATCTTTTTTCCATGATCTTACGTTTGTCTTCATTCACATAAAATGCAAAAGAACTTAAAAGACAATCCCATCATTAATATCATGGATGCAAATTTCCATTTTTGTTTTTCTTCTTTGGCCAACCGTGGATGCACGTTTCTGACAATATAGCATTTTATTGATTTCACAATTTAATATGATAAAGGTTACTAACAAGATTCTAAGAGCTTAAACATCAAATGTCATGATGGATGCTATTCAAAGAATGTGGCAGAAAACAGAAGATAAGTAGGTACTTTTGGGTTGAACTTAAAAGAGAGGAAACTAAAAGTAAATCACTCTTTCAAATAAAAGGCCATCACCCAAGACTAGTCTTGTACAGCAACAGCTCGCACTTTTCTTTCCTTTCTAGCCAACAACTAGAGAAGCAGATACAAGGGGAAAAGAAAGGTGTTATTAAGAGATCGAACCTGTCTTCTGCATAGTAAATGTGTCTGTTAGATGGATGATTATCAACAGAATGCAACACTGCAGTTAGCTTCTCAACTTTCTGCAGCAGAATCAAATAGTATCAATAATACTATAATAGGAAACATCATATCCCTTGACAAACCAAAAATACCTTTCTTTCGCTTTGCAATTTCTGCAATATATATCCTATATCTTGGGTCTTCATTAGCATGAGTTCTTCTTGAGAGTATTTGTTAGCTTGATTCCTATACAAAAAAAGGGGGAAAAGAAAGAAGACCAAATAAGCTTTCTAGATTTTAAGCTCAGATAGAAAACAATAAAACATGAAAGTCATATTATACTCTGGCTTATGAACTCCATCCACAGTTCTCGTTTTTATCATCTGAAAGTAAAACTCATCCGGGTTTCTGAAAGCAGCTTTCTCCTTGAGTTTCTGTAGAGCAAATCAACAAACGAGCACAAAAAAGAAAGAAATTATATAATCATGAAATTATAGCCAGCACTCCTATTACAATCTAAGAAGCAAGAAATTGGGTGCATTAACAAATAAAGTTACCCGTAAGGTCTCTTCCTTCTTGTGGAATGCTTTAGCACGGACGACATAATCCTTGTGTTTCTCAAGAAGCCCAAATTTTTTCCTCGAGGACCTAACAAAAAACAAGGAAATACGCCACAAGGAGAGACTTCTATCAATACGAAAGCAGAAAGCTTGGTAGAACGATGGCTATAATAAAGGGAAAAGCAGAGACTCACGGTTGAGCTCGTTCCTTGTGTGCCCGTCTGCTGATGGCGTTCCTTAGTGATGACATTTTTTAGAGGACGTAAAGCAATTTTTTTTAACCTCCTGCAACCTTGAACCAGCAGTATTATCTGCCTCCAATGCTGCAATTGAAACCCAATACAAAAATAAAAAACCAACACAATAATCAAACAAACCCTAAAATACCTAACCACGTACAAAATCGAAAAATCCAAACAGAAAATAATTAGATAAATTGAATTCTATATTTAGATTAATGCATTACCTTATAATTTATTTAATTGTTGTAGGTCTGCACAACGTTTAGTCTCCTCTGCGTTGCAAAACCACGATCGAAATCTACATGAAAGAGATTAAAATAACAAAACCAAAGCTCAGAGAATCAGTTATGCAGTCAAGACTTCCACTCTTGTAAGATTATGAATAATCACAAAAGAAAGTGAAGGGGGTATCTTACAAAACAAAATTTAGGGTTTCTAACTGATTTCTTCTTTGTGTGCTTCTTTTCTTTTTCTCCTGAATTCTTCTCCGATTGTTTGGTAAAATACTGTATTAGTCACAACATTATTACCGAATTTCTAATTTGGTCACCAATGATTTTTTTACAAATTTGTTACTATGATATTACATTATGATTCCGGTTTGATCACGTTAAAAAATTAATGATAATATTGACGTGTCATCATAAAATAATAATATATCATCATTAAAAAAATAAAAAAAGTTACCACATCTACAATTTTATTATTTTTTAATGATTGATTATCAGCACGAGAAAAACATAATAAATGTAATTTGAGAAAAACAATTAAGCGAGCAAAACGGAAGTACAAGAATGGTTGAATAGCTAAGCACGTAGTTTCTCCTAAATTCTTTACTTTAGAAATAACCTCTCCTCTTCACATATCCCACCGTCGCCAAATTTCGAAACATTGAGGGTGTATTTGGTTAGAGGAATATAAGATTCTCATGATAATGAAATTTATATTTTTTATTTAGTTGGTAGGAAATGTTATTCTCTGTAAACTTACATTATTAATAGTGGATTTTTTGCGATATATTACCGGGAATGTCATTACCTCCATTTCTTTAAGTATTATTGGATTACCGGCGTTTTAGACTAAATGTCTTTAATTTTTTTTAAAAAATATTATTATTTTGTCATCGAATAATAAAAATTATACGAATGTTAAATTATAAATTTATCCTTAAACTATTTTAAATTTACAAAAAAATTAAAATTTTATATAAAGTTCAGAGGTTAAAATAAAATTTTATCATTTCATTAAACATTTTTATATTTTAATTTTGTAAAAAAATTATATAAATTTATGAATTTAAACTTTTTAAAAAATATATATAAATATTTTTAATTTATTAAAAAAATAAATATATAATAAAGATAATTTAATTAAATAATCTTTTATTAGTAAACTTACATTAAAAAAAAACAACAACAACAAAAACAACGCACCCTGAAGGTTTCTACTGGAATGCTCTTTACTTCTGCGTCACTCTGCTTTACTTGATTTTCTGATTTTCATCCTACTGCTTCTTACTCTGTCTCATAGTCAGAGCCACCGGCAACACCTCTACACCACCGCTATTTGAAACCCTGGTGCAGCTCACCATGGGAGGATCTCGTGCTCAAGTCAGTAAGGCTCACAAAACCCGTTTCGCCTCTAAATCTTCTCGGAACATTCACAAAACCCTCAAAATAGGTTGCTCCTCGCTATTCATCTTCTATGGCTCTAATTTATATTAGTTTTTTTTTGTTTATTATGATTTTTTTTCCTATTAAGCATTTTGTCTGTCTTCTGAATAGTTCTTTGAATCTTTTTGTGGTTTAGATAAGAATCGGATTGCAAAACCGAGCCGAAATGTAGCGCAGGGAGCCCGAGCTGCTTGGCATCAGCGAAGCAAGATGGTGAGTGATGATAAATTTGAGTTGTGTTATGCATTTTGTCTCACACTGGAAATTGCTATTTGATTTTGTAGCTAAGAGAGCAGAAGAAGGCAGCTGTTTTGAAAGAGAAAAGGGCTTCAAGTGGATCAGCCATCCCTCCTCGTGTCATTGTAAGATTTTTTTATAAATTAATTCTTCCGATATTGTTGCTTTGAGTAGGCATCCCTCTCCCCCTAAAATCCTAGCTGTTTCTTTTGCCGCAGCTTCTTTTCCCTCTTTCTGCATCTGTGAATTTAAGTTCACTTGCTGAAGACATTTTGAGATTGCTATCAACAGAAGCTGGTGAAGCCTTGTCATCAACAGTAGCTTCTTCCGAGTACAAACTACGAGCAACAGTATGCAGCACTACCCTATTTTCATGTTATTAGTTAAAGAAAGCAACTAGTTAATAGGTTTAAGGTTTTAGTTCTCTTTGATTTGTCAAATTTATTTTGGATATCATTTATCTTTTTTTAGGTTCAGTGTAATGTTCTTGTAAAATGTACCTTTTAAGCCATGATCCTAAGTTCAAAAACTTGCAAATCTCTCAATCTTAAAGTTGTTTTTTCTAGGTAATGCAAACTCCTCATGGGGATCTTTTATCGTGTATGGAAATGGCTAAGGTAAAATTGTCATGATATTTTGTGTTAACCTCATTTACCACCACCCTCTGTTTTGAATTATAGGCTAATTGCCTTTTGAATTCTAGGTTGCTGATTTGATCGCTTTTGTGGCATCAGCTACTGAAGAAAGCACATGTGACTATATTGATTCATTTGGAAGTCACTGCCTTTCAGTGCTCAGGTCTCTAGGCTTACCAAGCACTGTCGTTTTTATTCGTGTATGTTACCGGTTCTCGACTTTATATGGTTTGTATGCTTGTGGCTTTACTAAGAAAGAAATTTTTCTTCCAGGATCTACCTACAGAGCTTAAAAGACGAAATGATGCAAAAAAGATTGTTACTTCTAATCTCACTTCTGTATTTCCAGAGGATTGTAAGTTTTATCCGGCAGATACGAAGGATGACTTGCACAAGGTGATTTTTGGTACCATGAGTTATCCTTTTTGGGTTTAACTAATATATACGTGGATTAATTAGATTGATATTGATTTGTGTACTTTTTTTTTTGATAGGAGATTTGTGTACTGATTGTGATCCATTTGTTTACATTCTTTTCCTCTTCTAATACTCACCAGTATCCACTGATATGTTGATTGCAGTTCATGTGGCTTTTCAAGGAGCAAAGGCTCACAACTCCTCATTGGAGAAATCAACGGCCTTATCTCATGGCACAAAAGGAACTTCTAAGTTCTTGTAATTTTTTCTTGAATTTATACATTGTTAAGGGTAGCATAGATGATGAGTAAACTTTAACAAAGGCATTTTGGAAATGTAAGTCTTGGAGATGTTCATATTGGTGCTTAATGACATATTTGCGATCACTTATTGCCATGCAGGCTGCATGGGTCTTAGATGATACGGATGAAGAGGATTCTGGCGCGGAGGATGATGGAGATGATGATGGCATGGTACTGGATGGAGGAGAAAGTGCCTTTCCTAATCAAGAAGGCACCAATAATCCTACTTTGAGGAAGATCAAGCTTCCTTGTACTTAAGGGATTCTGATGAAGAAACTGAAAATGATTCAGTGATGATGGTGCGTCTCTTTGATGTTTATGTCCTGATGCAATTTTACTTGAATTATAAGGAAGTGCCAGCTTTATGTTCTTCTATATACTTGCTCCATGTGGCATCAGTATCATATCATTTGCTTTTAAATCTTCAGTGTGTGAATAACGTTCCTTTTCTAAATGCAGGAAGGGGAGAATTTGACAAGGGAACAGATAGAGGATGAGATTAAAAAAATAAAAGGCACATGCTGAAGATGAGGGTATTTATATTTTCTGGATGAGTACTAGAGTTTTTGTTCTGAGCATTGCCATGTATGAGCACCTCTTGTAATGTAGATGCTAATATGCTGTTGTTTAAATGTTAATTTCAGAATTTCCAGATGAAGTGGACACTCCCCTAGATGTTCCTGCTAGAAAGCGATTTGCGAATATAGAGGCCTCAAGTCCTTTAGAACATCCTCATGGGACCCCAAAGTAATTTATTGTGATACCATTTTAATAAGATATGTTTTTAGTTAATGTTATGAAGTTGTTAAAAGTTTAGCTGGTTATTGTTAGGAATCTCTACCTCCAGAATATGCCAGAATTTTTGCATTTGATAACTTTGCAAGAACACAGTAGTATGTTATTGCAAAAGCCTTAAAAATGGAGCAGGAAGGCAGAGATGAATGTGCACCAGCTGGTTCATATGCAAGGCTTTATATCAAGGATGTACCTCTTCATGTTGCTTCAAAATTGTGTGCAGCCTCTAAAACAGCACCTGTTATATTATGTGGTCTCCTGCAACACTAGTCTAAGATGTCTGTGCTTCATTTCAGGTATCTTCTTCCACTAATATATTCCTGGTTATGAGTAGCAGCAATTTTCTTTCTTTATTTTTCTTTTCTAATATGATTTTTTTTTGGTAGTATAAAGAAGGTTGATAGTTATGATGCTCCTGTTAAAGCCAAGGAAGAACTCATATTTCATGTTGGTTTTCGCCAGTTTGTTGCTAGGTAATGCCTCTATACCTTACTACTGTTTTGGACACTTTACCAAAATTCTGAAATCTCTATCTGGTTATTTTCAGACCAATATTTTCGACTGACAATATTAATTCAGACAAGCACAAGATGGAAAGGTTTCTTCATGCAGGGCGTTTTTCAATAGCCTCAGTATATGCCCCTATTTCTTTCCCACCTCTCCCTTTGATAGCTCTCAAGGGTGCAGCAGGAGCGGGTACACCTGTAGTTGCTGCTGTTTGTTCCTTGAGAAGCGTTGACCCTGATAGAATAATTTTAAAGAAGATTATATTAACTGGGTATGGGTTCTTTTTTTGGTGATGAAATTTTTATTGAATTTGTTATCATATGGTTTCTTATACTAGGATTCTACTGGGTTTTCTTTAATGGGAATGATTTTTGTACTGTGGACTTGTTAATTTGGATTATATCTTGGTGCAGTTATCTTCAACGGGTATCCAAGTTAAAAGCGTACGGTATATGTTCCATAATCCAGAGGATGTAAGATGGTTTAAGGTAAGATGATCTTTACAAGTGAGAAAATAAATGTTACTGTTGCCTAAATTAGAATCAGCATTCGTAATCTGGATGTGGTTGCAGCCGGTAGAAGTGTGGACCAAGTACGGTCGAGTGAAGGAACCTGTTGGTACCCATGGTACGTGGTTGCTAACGTACAATATACAATATGTAGTCATTTGGCCATCTTGATCAAAATGTACTTGGAGTAAATTTTGTTAATTTTTCTTTATCAGGAGCAATGAAATGCGTATTCAATGGGGGTCTTCAGCAACATGACACTGTTTGTATGAGTTTATACAAACGTGCATATCCGAAGTGGCCGGAACACCGCTTCCCCGTTCTCGATGCTTGATCAGGACTCTTTTGCATGAATTTTTTTATACCGTTTCCATGTTTGCTGTTAAATATTTTTTTTGACAAAAGGGGGGAAAAACATCTATATATTGTGTGCTGATCTGATTTTATTTCTTTCGATCATTGTCAAAAGCATGTGTGCTAGGTGTTGAAGAATAGCGCTTGGAAACTATTTCGACTTCCATGCCCATTTTCTCAGGCAGAATCACAAGTTCTTGGTAGAATAATATTAAAAAACTTAAAAATGAAATTATGAATTAAAATAGAACATGATGTAACCCCAGCCAATAGAGGTGAGTAGAATTTCACTCGAATTTTTTTAAAATTTAAATAGAGGTATAAAATATAATTCGAATAACTCGAAAATTTTAATAATTAGTGGATTAGTTTTCAAGTTTGAGTTGGATCTTTTAACTTTACATGATATATGTATATTACATATAAAAAAATGTATATGTATATCATATATAGTTATAGAAAAGTATGATAATATTATAAATATTTATAATTAAATTTAAATAAAAACTTGAACGAGTTGACTTTAATTTTATGAATTTGATTTGAAAATTTTATAAATAAAGTTTGAGTTATAAAATAAGATTTATTAGCATGACTAATTTTAAAAAAAATATTCGATTTGATTGAATTCTTACTCTTACCAAATTGTTCAGTGTTGTATAACTTTATTAAATCATTAAACTGAGTGGACTTTTCCCTAAGGTGCCAAATGCAAGGAGCTCTTCGTTCTTCTCTAGCATAATCATGTGTTGTTCCTTCATGAACACCAATGCTTCGACTCCATTCTCCAAATCTGTATCCATGAGAAGAACCGTATTCTGGATCGCAGCTTCTGATTCGGCACAGGCCTTGCATACCCACGTCGGCTTTCCCCACCCATAATCTATCTCATACAGACCAAAGTTGCACCAGCTCGTAAAATTAATAACATCAATCTCACCACGACACCTTGCCGATCTCTTTCATATACTCAAAGAATTTAAGCCATCCTCCATCTCCTCGTAGAGAAGCAACAAAATCGCCATCAATTTTCCTTATTGCTTTCCTCAGAAGGCAGACCAAGCTATCCAACTCTGTTTCGTTTTCAGTCACGAGAGCGGCCGCAACACATAAGAAGTTTCCGACTGAAGTTTTCGGGATTTGCGGTACTGTCCTTTGACGAAGATTAACTGTATGATTTATAAGTGCCGATTTTGATATAAGAGCAGCCATGATACACTTGCTGAGGAGGGCTGAGACGACTTCGACTCGTGTCGGATTCGGTACACTTGAACTAGCTGTTCTAGCCTCAAGTGAAGCTATTGCCGAGGCATCAAAAACAATTCTCGTAATTCTGCATGTTCTTTCTTTGAGAAATGTGGTCATTAGTGTTGAGGTTGCCTCCTTGGAGAATGCCGTATTCTGTGGAAAGACAACAGAGGCGTTGAAATCCGGTAAAACAGCTTCATCGTCGGATTTACGAGTCAGTGAAGCCCAACTTCTAAGAAATGTTGTAATGCTAGTTCCATTGACAACCATATGAGAGAGACGTGTTCCCACCACAACACCACCGCACGCAAAAGACGTTACTTGTATCATGGCTACATAACCTCCTGCACTCGTTGCAGGGAGCAGTTGAGGAACATAAGACGAATCAGTGAGCTTGAGAAACTCCCCAAGCGGACGATTAACTCTAGCCTCGACGTAGTACGCCCCCTCGTCATTACAATCAACAGAAAGATGATGGTCCTCGATCCTTCCGGCAAACGGGTAAAAGAGAGTTAAGGTTTCTGATAGAGATTCCTTAAGCAACCGTGCCCTCCTAGGAATGATATCGGCCGGTGGAATGCTGGTTTCTTGGTTCATATAAAAGAGGACTATAGGAACATAAATTGAAGGAAGGAACTGATCCAAAAAGGAAAGCAAGTGTGTTCTAAGATGATGAGGCGTTGGAGAAGACGGTTTGATCAATTCTTTTGAAACTATTTCGACCTCCGTCACCATTTTCTCTTGCACGAAAATACTCTGACGTTTAGCACAATCCACATATCATTTATATAACTAGATGTTTTCCCAATGCACATGCAGTTTGTATTTAATAATCAATATTTAATTCTTATAACATATAAAATTAATAATTTAATAACTATTATGAAATAGTAACATTTATAATTAAATGTTTATGCTAAAATCCATGAATTCCTCATTTTTCTTTGTGTTACTTTGCTTTGTTTTTTCATTTTTCTCCTCTCCTCATTATTTTACAAGCATAAATATTTTTCATGAATATATATACTTTAGCTCTCCAGTAGAGAAATAGAATAATTTTTTCATGATTTTTTACGAACCAAATGATCTTAGTTATTAAAGGATTGTCGTTTAAAGTTATGGATTTGAATATCACGTTTTCAGGGGTATACGAGCGTTCATTATCAAATAAAAATTTTTAGTTTACTCAAAATTTGGCATACCTAATCTATATGAATAGAATATGAAATTCAACTGTTGTATTTTTAAAATATTAATTGTAAAAAAAATTAAGGTGTATAATTCCCACAAGGCTTTATTCTTCGATTAAATGGATTCTTAAGGCAAATGCTAAGATTCAAATTCACACAAGATGGAACAACATAAATAACCTTGATCACTCGATCAATTAATGAGTCTTTCACTTAGATTTATTCTAATGTTTAATCTATATTTCTCAAACTTTACAAAGTTGGTACTTGTATTTATTAAATCTGAATAGAACATGCATTGCTAACGCTAATGCTTCAATTCCGTTCATGTACAGAGTTCCTACGTGGGTGGTTCCACTACGGCCTAATGTAAGATTAATGTATGATAGTTTTTAATCTAAAATGTTATATGTTTAACCTAAAAGTTATATAATTTGCAATAATTTCAGTTACAACAAAAGATATTACATAGTGGCGGGTTTTAATTTATAATGTTACGTGTTCAACCTAAAAAATTATACATTTTTCAATAATTTAGATTACAACTAAAAATGTCTTGAATATAACTTTTTAAGTTACAATCGGAATAATTATACAATTTATATGATTTATTATGAAGAAGTAATATTTCGATTTTAACCTAAAATATTATGTTCAAATTAAAAAAATTAGTCTCTTAATAAATTTTTCGATTACAATCGAATTTTTATCGTTTTTATCTTATATTAACGTATTGTACTTTAGACCCATCCGACACACATTGGTTTTTCCACCCAAAATCATCTCATAGAGACCAGAGTTGCACCTATCTTTTTCATGTACTCACAAAATTTAAGCCATCCGTCATCTCTTTGTAAGGCAGTTACAAAATCACCATCAGCTTTTCTTATTGCTTTCCTTAGATGTCACGCTAAGTGATCCAACTTTGACGCATGACTTTATAATATTAGGGAATAAATTTATAAAATCTTCAAAAATATTTTTTAAATTAAACACATATATTAATAACATAATTTTTTATATGAAATAGATACAACCAATAAAATAAATAATTAGTCGAATAAAATTTAAATCTCAAAATGAACACGTGCATAAATCTGTCACTGATTAATAAATTCAGTCAACCTCCATTGGAGTGCACTTCCCTTAACTCTGCATATGACGATGGCAGTTTTCACAACACCGACATGGAAGCATTGCAGATCGAGTATGTGGATGATCTCTTATTAAAACATCACTGGAAGAAAATAAGTTAAAATATGAGTACAATTTTGAGCTGTCTGATGTAATGAAACTTTTGGAAGAACCATTTGCAGCAATGTTAGATGAATGCCAAAATTTAGCTCTATTTAAAGGTAAGAATTACGAGTGAAAAGACTTTGTTTCATCATAAATTTTGGATAAAATAGAAGCCAAACGTGCAAGGCATGCACAAAATTTCCATGTTTTCTCCTGCAGCAAATCCCCCTGAATTAACCACCCCCAGCTTCTCCACGTAAATAATAGCATGTTGATGTTCTCCAAATTTGCTATCGAGTATATTAGCAGTTGAAACTGCCAGCATTTAAATATCTTCTCCTGGGGGTAACTCGGCGAGCTTTGGAGGGGTGCCGAGTACTCTTTCCATATCAAATCGGACTTCAATGTTACGAAGGCTGTATCCAACCACCATGAGCCAATAAAGAAGCTTCGCTAGTTCCGGTGCACTAGTCTCAGTTACACTTGTCTGTAACACAAAACAATGGTAGGTTAGGATGTCTTTCAAAAATAAAATGAAATTGCAGTATGGATTACACGTTTCTTCTCAAGGTGCATGTATCTCCCAAATCAAAAAGTGGAATTCTGATTCTGATTCTCCAAAACAAAGAGGATGGAGATCTCCAACTGATTTCTTCATTCAAATGAAAATTTAAACCATGAAACCAAAACCATCAAAGTAATGTAACGGTAACCTTCATTTGGTTAGGATCCGAAACAGCTAAAAGACGCTTAATGAACGTATTCATTGCAAATACGACATCCTCTCCAGCACTACTTGTCAACTCCTACAAAGCATGTAATTTGAGTTAATACATATGTAGATAAATCAAATTTGAAGCAAGTAGAAAGAACAATTATAATGGATTCGTAATGCAACAAGTATTCATTAAGTTCTAGTCATAATCAAAATGCAAACAGAACTATAGAATTAGCTGTCAACTAGAACCAATTCCATGAAATTATAAACAGCTTTATATACCTTCAAATTTTGGGGCTCAAGAGACTTGAGATATTCTAACAGTTCATTTGGACCATTAGCAGAATTTCTGCCAACTTGACGATTTAGTTCCTCAATCTCTGCTTCAAGTAACTCAATGTACTTTTTAGCATCTATTTTCTCGGGGCCAGAAACATTATTCCACCTGATAACTTCACCAGACACATTCTTTTGCGTACCGGGTGCGTAATCTGGAACATCCTGTAAAGATGAAGCCCTTTAGCACCATTGAAAAATATTTGGACATTTAAGAATTAAGAGTTCATTGAAATAAACATCATTGCCATTAAACAGATCAGTTAAGTCAACATGGTGAAAATTAAATAGAGAGCAGTGTACAGGAAATCAAAGTGCTCAACAAGTAACACCAAACATTTTAAGAAATACAGGAAAAAGAATCATGCGTTGTTGATCACTTCAAACAAAGCTATACTGAGAGGTTAACTTACATTAGCATCAAACTGTGCAAAATATCTCTCTCCGGAGTAAAAGACAGCAAAGATAACTTGATAGGATTCAATGGCTTAAAGAATAGAAATTAATCACAACAGGTATGCTTTGAATAGACACAAATTGGCCCATGCTTTTATATCACTAAAATGAAATACATGATGGTATGCGACATCTGACTATCTGTTTCTCATATCTATCAATGTGAGATTTCTCCCTGACAGAACAGGCTGCATCATACATGGTTCCAGAACAAAGCACCATCAAGATGATGTGATGTGCAAGCCATTACATTTTGGGTACGTATTACGTGGCAAAGCAATAGCATCAGCCTCTCAAGATCTTGGTTTCTTTCAAGATGCAACGCAAAAGGGGTAAAACACGTACCTTTTTCTCTTGCACCTCAGGAAGAGCAGCCTGCTCTAAACCTTGATGCAATTCCAATCGGTATTGTGCATTCTTAAACATATATCCAGTCATCATAACACTGTACATGAGTTGTGCAAGATTTTCAGCAACCTAAAGGAGAAAATCAAAGAAATCCAAATGATTGTCTAAACCAAGTCAAGTTCAATAACACTGATAAACATGATAAAAATATAATCGAAGAACATATTTTGCATTCTTAAACACATATCTAGTAATCATAACACTATACATTAGTTTTATAAGATCCCAGCAACCTATAGTGAAATCAAAGAGCTCCCAATGATTGCCTAAACCAACAAGCGCTTGGTTCAATAACGCTACAATCTGAGTCAAAATCGAAACAAAGAAAATCTATTATCATAATATGCTTACGGTGGTGACTGTCACAGCAAAGAATTGCGGGGGCAGTGTTCCAATCATGTTCGTCACTGTTTGCCGCATTGCCTCAACAACCTGGGAATTTTTTTTCCTCAATTTTCAGTTTCATTTCATTTCCAGAGCCTAAGAAATTATAACCCTTTGCAGAAAGAAAAAAAAATGAAAACCTGTTGAGGAGCTCGTTTCACGAACAATTCCATGAACTCCGGCTGCACATTTTTCACATACTCCAATAGAATCTCTCGCCTGGTCTTAGGCAGCTGATTTTTCTTCATAAAAGAAAAAAAAAGTTACACTTAAAACCCTCAAGCATAAAACACCCATACAAGAAAAGAGACCCATGAAAAAGAGAAACAGAGAGAGAGAGATACCAGACTGCCATGAGGAGGCTTGGAATCATCATTGGATTTAGACCCATCATCGCTCTTGGAAGAATCATAAGCTTTAACTCTCAAACCCAATCCCGTGCTACTTTTAATCTTCCGTGGGAAGCGAACCGACGAAGGAATAGATTGTTTAGTGTTATTATACGATGAGAAGACAGTGAAGGAAGACTGCAGCACAAAAGAAGAGGGCTTCACAATCAAGGAATTCATCTTAGCTCCTACAATCAATAAAAACAAAGGTGTGTTCGTTTATGGTGTGGACATTAAACACGACGGGTGAAGTGAAAGTGGTGAGCTTTTTGGTACGGCAGCTCCGAAAGATGAGAGTTTATTGGTTGGTGTCAAATCGAAATTTGCAGTCTCGTTCACCAGAAGAGCGTGGAATAGCACCCCAGAGGATAACCTGTAATGGGTCGGGTTTTCAACTACTTGCGTTTTCTTGTTTAGGTACTTAAGTTGGTGTAAACCACAAATGAGTGACATTATCTTATTAAGGGAAAATCTAAGGAAAAGTAAAATTAAATTAGTGATTCGTATTTGAAAATAATTTCAATAAATGATAATTCAGTATATTTACCACTTCTAAATATAGCATAATAAACCATAATAATTAAAAAATACATTAGAAATAAATTACGTAAAATAAATAGTCACATATATTATATTATATCATATCATATCATAATAATAATAATAATAATAATAATATAACAAGGTATATATATTAGAATAAAAATTTTCTTTATGGAATCATAATACGTTGATACTTCAATAATTTTTAATTAAAAATTCATGAGTTTATAATCGAAACTATTTTGGTTATTTAAAAGAAAATGCAAATATATAAACAAAACTAAAAGCTTTCAAAATATTTAAAAATTAAATTAAAAAATGTACAAAGATTTAGTTTAATGATAGACAGACATGAAGAGAGTTATAGTAGAACTCATTTTGAAGTGTTTAACTTATCATAAAATTAAAGATAAGCATCAAGTTTCACTAAGATTCCTTCAATATATCGAGTTATTTTAATGATAATGGGAAATAATCACGATACATTTCGTGAGTGATCTTTCATAAACTTCAAAGAAAAATAATATAATTTAAATAATTATTAAACAATATAATTCACTTTCTTCCAGTCGTATGAATTTCAAATTTTAAAAATTAGTTGACTTATACATTAATAAAGTAATTAAATTCCACGATGTATTTATGTTTATTATCTCGTATGGAGATCTACGATTCACATCTTATTTAAAAAAATCTCTACAAAAAACATTGGGCACTCCTTAATGTGATTTTTTATCCTCAAACCAATGGCTAGTCAAAAAAATATTCGATAGTTTCTTTAGCAAACAATCCATAATATTGTTTAAATTACGATATCAGTTTAAAATTTTCTGGAGGACACACTCATATGAAGAAAAACAACCCTAAACCTCTAATGGTAAGATGAGTATTCGATCGAGATGAGTAAAAAAATTTAAGTTGGTTGAGTTAACGATTCATAATTTCTAACTCAAATTTCATTTGAATTTTGAGTTTTTGTTTAAATTCAATTATAAATATTTATAATGTTATGGTATTAAATGATTCAAATTTTTTAAAAAATTCTATAATCATATACGCTATATATTTATATTTTTTTCATATTTGTTAATATGTGGTATATATATATAATGTAAAATTAAAAAAAAACTCAATTTTATAATTTTTAAAAGTAGAAGGATTCAAAAAAATAATTCTCTACAGTCGGGGTCATTCTTGTATTTTACCCTAATATTTAATTGTTTGTTTAATAGTACGTAATGCTTCTTATTGACCAAGAAATGATGGGTGTAATTAGTAAATTTCATTTTTACATTTAACAAGTGTTCATTTTTTTTCACCTCTTCCGTGAGTGTGTCATAAAATCATAATCTCTTTTTTCCCCCTACTGAAAAGGAATAGTGACAGTAAATGAGCAAAACACTGACAAGTAAAAAGAAATAAAAGGGCGCAGAAGCCAGATCACCACCGCTCTCAACCCACCCGTTATTCGTTTCGTCTTGAGGTGGTTTTGTTCATACTTTTTATACTTCTCTCGGTTTCTAATTTTCTTTTTCTATTTGTTGTTTGTATTATTTCTTCTTGTCCTTACCCGGCCAATGCCATAACCTTATTATTATTACTATGGCGGAGTAGTAGCACAGAGCTGAGAGAGAGATCAATCGGTTTCTTACACACGCTCTCCACTTATAGTGTTTGCTTGGAAGGAAGGGAGTGAAAAAGCGGCGGCGGCGGAAGTAACGGTGCAATGGCTTTGCCACGGCGGCGAAACCTTTCCCACAACAACCGCCTCCGATCTCTGGTTAACCTGGTATCGGTCATCTCCGGTGTTCTTCTAATCCTCTTTGCTTTGCTTTCGTTTCTCGCGCCTTCTCCTAACGAATCGCAGCACTTCAACCTTCGCCATCACCAGCGCTCTGTAATTCCTCGCTCTCTTTCTCGCGGTTTCAAGTTCGCGTTGAATTTATGACTGATTTTTGTTTTAACTTAATTCTGTTTTCCTTTGGTGTAGTTTAACGCAGTCGTTGAGGATCTTGCTACCAGTGGAGATTCAGTTTTCCGTGTTCCGGTTAGGCTTTTTTTTTGCTCCTGTGTTATATTTTTCTATACAATTTCAGTGATTGTGCGTTTTGCTTTAGATTTCGTTGGATGCTAACGGTTGACTAATTTCTGTTATTGTTTTTGAGAATCAGAGTAGCGGAGCTAAATTAGATCGTGAAATATGGAGTTCGAAAAATGCTGAATTCTTTTATGGATGCAGTAATGCCAGCGCCAAATTTGCAAGTATGTATAATCATTTTTTCTGTAGTTTGACTGATAATTGTACATCTTTATGCAGAAACTTTAGGGTCAAAGACGGTAGGTTTGGAAAATGTCAAATCTAGTCTAGGAATAATGATAAAAGGATTGAGATGATTTAGGGTTTTTATACCTTGCTTTGGACAGTGAGGAAATTGCTGATATACATAATGCAACGAAAATCATTAATGCATTGGTTGTATTGCAGAAGCTGAAGCTGTTTCGCATCCCACACGATATCTGGCTATTGCCACTAGTGGAGGCTTGAACCAACAAAGAACTGGGGTAACACTGATAGCTACTTCTCACTGTTCTCAGTAGAGTTATTTTATCTGCTGGAATGATGTCTTATAGCATTTTAATGCCTTGATTTTGGGTTTGATTATCATAATTACTATGAGAAGCTGCAAGCCAGCTAGTAAGATTCATGTTTCTCTTGCTAAATTCTTATAGAGCTTGCAAAGGCAGAATTCAAGAAGACATGCTTTCAATTATTTGCATTGATTTTGCTGATTCTAGATGATTGAAACTTTAGTGATCTGCAGACATGCTTGAAACTATTGGTCCTTTACTAGTCTGAGCTTTCTGTTACCGACTCACCATCAATGTCTCATGACCACAAGGATTGGATCGTTCTTTTATTGCTCTATTGATGCCATTTTGAGATCAAGCTTACTAGTAATGCATGTTGCAGATTACTGATGCTGTTGTCGCTGCTCGCATTCTGAATGCTACTCTTGTTGTTCCAAAGTTGGACCAAAAATCCTTTTGGAAGGACGCCAGGTGTGTAATGGGATGAAAGATATTTGCCATTTGAATTCCTAATATCATTTAGCCACTGATATTGAAGAGAAGTTATGCACGAGTTGAGTTGTCAATATGTTATGTGACAATTTCTACTTCTCCATGTCCAGTAACTTCTCGGAGATCTTTGATGTTGATTGGTTCATATCATCTTTATCAAAAAATGTTAAAATCATAAAGCAGCTGCCTAAAAGGGGAGGGAAGAGTTGGACTCCATACACCATGCGTGTTCCAAGGAAATGTAGTGTTAGGTGTTACCAAAATCGTGTATTGCCAGTTATTTTGAAAAGGCATGTAAGTTCCATATTCTCTATATTTTTCATGTTCAACTTTTTTATTTCTTTATTCACTTGTGCCTTTTGCCTCTTCACATTCTATCTTATTCTTTTCCTATGGAGAAAATTAACAAATATGTTGCTGAATGCTAACCATGCTTGTAAGCTGAAGTTGGTTTGCTGGTTCATGGAGGATGAATTATTGAGCGGTAGGGCATCTTTTAGTATGTCATATAGAATCTGGGAGTAATTAAAAAGAATGGTAGGTAAAAGGTTAAAAACTGGTGATGCATGGAAACTTTTGCACCCATAATGACTAACCTTTCCTGCACATTTCAACCATAGTGGCATATCTGCTTGAGCTTTCACTAGATCCTTTATAAGTAGTCTTTTCAGTATTGGAAACACAAAGTCTCTAGAGAACCAACATACAGACCTTTCTGATCGCTAATAAGTTTTATTGAAAATTTGTTTGCATTTTGGATTCATATCTTCTCTCCTTAATACTCGTCTTCCTAGATATAGTATTGAATGGCTTTTATATTTCTGTTGAAATTTGTTTCATCTTAAGTCACATTTTTGTTTCAACCATTACTTCACTCTATTCTATCTAATAACCAAATTAAGGGCAGTTGATATTACTCTTGTCCTTTAGAACTATCTAATATTGGTTGGTTTCACTAGTAACACTTCTCTTGTCATGTGAAGCATGCAGTTCAGCTCAACAAGTTTGATTACAGACTTGCAAACAAATTGGATTCGGATCTGCAGAAGTTAAGATGCCGAGTTAACTACCATGCTCTGAAGTTTGCTGACCCTGTTCTAGAAATGGGCAAAACACTTGTTCATCGAATGAGGATGAGGAGCAAGCGTTATATCGCTTTGCACTTGAGGCATGTATCTTTATTTGGTCCTGTATATCTATCATTCTAATTAGCTGTGTACACAAGTATACCTGGATTGTATGGGCCTTAAGGTTTGAAACTGCTTAACCTGCATTCATGATACAGATACAGCGTAACTAAATATACAAGAATGATACAGATACAATGGCAGCATGACCATTTGATGATAGATTAAATATCTGATGTTACAATGAAAATATCTTGCATGTTTTAAAGCTAGACCTTCAACCATCATCATAGACGTGTCCACATACAGCAATGAATGAATGCATCATTATTTTCAAGCAACAGTTCTTATGGTTATTGATGTAGCAAAACTTTTTTGTTACAGGTTTGAGCCTGATATGCTTGCATTCTCAGGATGTGATTATGGTGGAGGTGAAAAGGAAAGGAATGAACTAGGTGCGATACGGAAGAGGTGGAAGACTTTACATGTAAGACTCAAGTTTCATACTCGTAATAGTTTTATTCGTCCCGAGTCTTATCTTTTACTGGCAAAGAACTCGCAATTCGAAAGCAAATTTAGTAATCATGGTCTCCCGACATATTTTTTTAGTTTATAAATATGATTGTCTCCTTCCACGAATGGAGGGGAGGAATTCAGTTCTTTCCATTTGCATGATGTGTAAAGTGTAAACATTATAAAAGGTTCAAGTAAAGTGGGTGAAGATTTTATAAAGAACAAGAGAGGGTAAAAGCGATGCATAGGAAATTTTTAAGCAACAGCTATTGCGAGAACAGAAACTGCAGTCCTTTCAAATTATCCAATCTGTATTAGTTTGAGTTGCATCAATCTGCTTTAACCGCTGATCTATTGCAAATGCTGTATGGACCTATTTATTGGTATGCAGAAAACCAATCCTGATCGGCAAAGAAGGCAAGGGAAATGCCCACTTACCCCAGAGGAAGTTGGTCTGATGCTGAGAGCTCTTGGATATGGCAGTGACGTTCATATATATGTGGCTTCTGGTGAAGTGTATGGAGGGGAGGAAACTTTGAGACCCTTGAAATCACTCTTCCCAAACTTCTACTCTAAAGATACCATTGCCACGAAGGAAGAATTAGCGCCATTCTCCTTGTTCTCTTCTCGAATGGCTGCACTTGACTTTATTGTTTGTGATGAGAGTGATGTGTTTGTCACCAACAACAATGGTAACATGGCTAAGATATTAGCTGGGCGAAGGTAAACAAGCCTGTCTTTCCATTCCGTTACTATAAATGCTGGCTAACTTTTCTCGTTTGTTTTGTTGCAGGAAATATTTTGGACATAAACCCACCATTCGTCCAAACGCTAAAAAACTATATCGGTTATTCTTGAACAGAAACAACATGACATGGGAAGCATTTGCCTCTAGTGTTCGTACTTTTCAGAGAGGCTTTATGGGGGAACCAAAGGAGGCCAGGCCAGGCAGGGGTGAATTTCATGAGAATCCAACCGCTTGTATATGTGAAGATTCAGAGGCCAGGGAAAAGGCAAATGTAACAGATTTAAGAGAGAAGAAAAATGGGAAATCGGGTGCTTCATTGAAAAAAGAGGCTACGGTAAGTGATGATCAGAATGATTATGATGATAACGATGAGCCAAAATGGCCTGATCTGGATGACGACGACGATCAAATTTGGCCTCAAGAGAAGCAGCTATATAACGGAACAGGTTCGGATTATGATGCAGTCATCTCTGATGAACCTGAGTTGGAAGAGATTCTTTCAGACTAAAACCTAACAAATTCATTCTCGAAAAGTCCTTGTTTTGTTGATGATAATGCAAAATGTCATCATGTCTATTAAACTCCTGAGATTATCAACAGTTTATGTTTCTTTTGTGGTTTGAGTTTTAGTTCCGGAGCATTCTACTGATAGTGAGGCATACAAATAGCCAGCAGGTGAAAGAACTTTCTCCTCTTTAGCTGAGGCTTCAGAACAATCCAAATACCAAGACATGGGAAAGAACGAAAGGTTGAAATACAGCTATGGTTGTTACTGACTTTTGGGTGGGTTTATGTAAATTTTGTCCAAGTGCTTTAGTTTTGTACCCATGATCACCACAACTGATATGAGAGAAAGGCGGCCAATGTAACCAATTTCAGTTTTTTTTTTTTAATCAATGTATCACCTGATACTTGTAACTTTCCCCTCCCACAATCCTAAGTTAGATCCTAATGTTTGGGCCACAGGCTTTCCACACTATGCTCAAGATTGGACCATTTATTGCATCGGCATTTTTTTTAAAAGACCTACATTTAAATTAACCTATATATAGGGAAAACAAATTTTTTTGAATTATTGGGACCATTTCAAGGATTCATCACAATAATTATAAGAGAAAATAACCTCAGTGACCAAAAATCTCATATAATATACGATTTTAACCAACTTTTTCCGGATTTGCCAAAATGACCAACAAAATCGCAATGCGATCGCTAATTCGCAACGCGATCTCCATTATCGCAAATTCGCGTTGCATTTTCGCAATGCGATAGTTGAAAATCGCGTTGCGATGGTCTACAGTATCGTTGTGATTTTCCCAATTCGCAATGCGAATAAGTAAATCGCAACGCGAATTGGGAAAATCGCAATGCGAATAAGTAAATCGCAACGCGAATTGGGAAAATCGTAATGCGATACTGACTATCGCAATGCGATAATAAAAAATCGCAACGAGATACTTACTTTCGCAACGCGATACTGACTTTCGCAACGCGATTCTGACTTTCGCAACGCGATAATACATAATCGCAATGCGATTTTTCAAAGCGCCATTAGTATCCTGGCCAAGTATTTTATTTTTAAATTCCAAACACGAATATTAATATATTGGAACACTGAACTGTCCACAGTATATCCCGTAATCGCAACTCATAACCTAAAACCTAAAATCACAACTCAGTCCCATCTCCATCTCTCACTCTCTCACCCATCTCCGACGAAATCCGTCTATCTCCATCTCTCAGAGCCACCCTCACAATCAGAAATGGAAAATCAACCAAATCAACCAAACGAGGGTTAGTTTTTTTAATTATTTTCTTTTTGAAATTTTTGCATTATTATTAGGTTTTTCATATTGAAATTGATGATAAGTTTACTGGTAATTTCAATAATAGATTAACCATTTCACTTAGATTGCTTATTAAATCAACCGAGAATCGCAACGCGAAATGCAAATCGCAACGCGATTTTAGTTTCGCGTTGCGATTCTCTCGTTGCGATAGTCGAATTCGCGTTGCGATTTTCATTTTCGTGTTGCGATTTTCATTTTCAGAAAACTATTCTTCTTCTGCAAATTGAAACTTGAATGAATTGCATTACTTCAACCAAAAAACAAAGACAAATACGAAATTCACAGTGTTGCATATTTAAGTTTGAAGAATAAACTACTACTATTTATGTTTATTATTGTTTTTGATATATCTTCACAGTGTAGTTTTTGGTATATCTAATTTAGTATGTTTATTGTTTTTGTAGAACTTTTATTCGGCTCAATTGACCTTGAGAAATAAAGTCAGCCTGGCCAAAACAATTGCGTCGAAGCTTTCACCTGCACAAAGAAAAATGTTTGAGGATACATGCTTCGGGCCATGGCTGAAAGTACAACATCCCGGTGGAGATGCGATGTTGACACACCTGTTTCTTCAAACCATGACTAGCGATCTACCAGAGACTATACAACGTCGTGATGAAGAGATATGGTTTGATTTTCCACCGGCGTATACGTGTTTTGGGCGGGAGGAGTTTTGCTTAATCACCGGTCTATGCTTCGGACACGATGATGTAGGTCGGTACACTAGACACATTACCCGCCCATCATGGCTATCCCGGGTTTTTCCTGAGCTGGAGAGGCCGAGTCTACACGTAGAAGACCTGACAAGATTTTTGAATAATAAAGATGGTTTTACTCGGATGGATGACGTCGACGTTGTCCGAGTATGCCTTCTAATTCTTTGCATGCCGGCTTTTTAGGCAGAGAGGCCAGACAACCTATTCCAAATGATCTAATCAAATTGGTAGAAAACCTAAATGCGTGGAACCTGTTTCCGTGGGGCTTGTATTTATGGAAAGCTACATGGAATAAGTTATCGTCTGCCTTGGATGATCGAAAAAGTTTGCATGGCGATGGTTCCAAATACACTTTGACAGGCTTTATTTGGGCCTTTAAGGTAAGAATTTTTATATGATGTTTCTAAAATTATAAGTAATTATTTAACAATTACTAATGTTTGTTATTATATTGTTTGTAGATTTGGATATTTGAGGCCTTTCCCGCCATGAAGACATATGCAATAAAAACTTCAAATGATATTCCCAGGGCTATTTCCTGGAAGAGGAAACGGACCTTGCAATGGGAAGATTTACTACGGTATACGACAATAAATAATGTAAGTTAACATAAATACTACCATATATTTATAAACAAGTTATTACTAGTACACGTTTAACTTTGTTTGAGCTTTTATATTGTTAGGAGGCCAACACTCCTCTACAGAGGCTGACACCCACGGAAGCTGAGCTTGCCACTGATTGGTGGCAAGCTAGTAAGCATTTTTTGATGGAACGGTTGATGAGCAGCCTCCACTTCGGGAGCCATCACCTCGCCCAGAGCTATCACCTCACCCAGAGCCATCATCTGATCGACCCGGCTATACACCTCCACAACGACAGCCATCACCTATTCTGTCACATCATCGAGCCTCTTCTCCACCATCACCGCAAGATAGGCGACCGGAAAAGATGCCACGATGTTTATCTCCCTGTTCTCCACCTCAACGGGATGAGTTAGGGGAGTTACGTGATGAGGTCAATGCCTTGCGTGAGGAGGTCGGTACTTTACGCAAAGACGATGGTGCATGGCGTGTTGAGGTGTCTATATTACGCGGTGAGGTAGCCGCTCTACGTGAGATGGTAGCATCGTTGCAGAATGAGGTTCATACTCTACGCAACGAGGTAAGTTTAAGATTTTTCATACTCGTAATTCATTCGGTTGCTGCCAATACTGCTAAACTGTTTTTGTTAGTATTTGTTTTTGGTTTTGTTTGTCTTTTGGTTGAAGTAATGCAATCCATTCAAGTTTCAATTTGCAGAAGAAGAATAGTTTACTTTCGCAACACGAAAATGACTATCGCAACGCGGAAATGGCTATCGCAATGCGAAATAAAAATCGCAACGACAAAATCGCAATGCGAAATGAAATCGCAACGACAAAATCGCAACGCGAAATGAAAATCGCAATGCGATTTGTGTTTCGCGTTGCGATTTTGTCGTTGCAATTTTGTCGTTGCGATTTCATTTCGCGTTGCGATTTTGTTGTTGCGATTTTCATTTCGCATTGCGATAGCCATTTCCGCGTTGCGATAGTCATTTCGCGTTGCGATTTTAAGTTTCGTGTTGCGAAAGTAAACTATTCTTCTTCTGGAATGTTTATATATGTTGTCCTTTTAAATGTTTATATAAGTGCTTACTTCTGGAATGTTATCTGAGCATTTTGTGAACTATGATAGAATAATGATTTGGGTGAATACAATGCTAGTTTGAAACATATTTGTCTTTGTTTAATATCATGTTTGTTTATTTACTGATTTATGTATTAATTTTTTTAGCGGCCCGATAAGGTGGATGCTTTACGTCGGGTTTTCCTTGCACGACGGAGTTCACGCATCAGACGGCGTGGACGTGCTATTACGTCTCCGTTCACCCAAATGGTGAGAAGACTCCGCAAGAAGAAGCCCGACTCACCGATCATCCCTCAAGAGTCCCCTCCAATCGTTCAAGAGGCCCCTATTCTCCCTCAAGATTCCCCCCCCCCCACCGTTCAAGAGGCCACTGTCATCGTTGAAGAGGTCCCTCCCACCATTCCAGAGCCTGATTCACATGGGGTAATATATCGAAGTATTGAGAAACCCCCACCGGTTCCGGACATGATGGATGAGAGTTGGCTCTCGTATGAGTTACCGGCTAGTACCCTTCCGGTATCTGAAGTGGAGAGGAGACAACTACCGGAAACAATTGTGGATAATACCCTTTGGGCTAAGACCGCAGTTGATTTTTATCTACATGAGCGGAGCCAAGGGTGTTACACTGACATCAGCAAACTCAACGATGAAATGTTTTTGTTGCTTGATCGGTCTTGGTGGGGTGTGCTATTAGGGGTTGAAGACAGTGGCTATTTGGATGGGGAGGTAAGTCTTATATTTGTCTTATATATGATTTTGATTAATTTGTTTAAAAATTAATGTATTTCACTAATATATGTATTTTTTTGTAAAACAGCATATCGATGCGTGGGTGTCACGTCTACTAATAATAAGGAAGCTTAGGAAAAATAAAAAAAATTCGCTATATACAATAATGCCGACGGCTTTTCACGCAGTTCACTTGAAGAATCAACGAGATGAATCATTTTTGTTGGGCAATGGACAAGCTAAACTTTATCCTGCATGGTGGGAGGTCGATAAGGTTAGTGTTTATTTTTTAAATTTTTTAAAGGTGTTCATAAATAAGTGCGCAAATAAATGAATTATTACTTATGATCGCAGGTGTTTATCCCTGTTTTGGAACGTCGTCACTGGCTTCTCGTCCAACTTCAGCTCCCATCCCTGAAGATAATAGTGTATGACAGCATGATCAATTACATATCACTGTCTGATTTGAGAGATATTTTCAAGGGATGGAGCTCTCATTTGGCTAAATTCTTGGATGGGATTAAGTATTGGAGTCATTCTGGAGTTTTTCCGAGCCTCTATTCAAACAGTGGTACTACAAGAAAAGAAACCATGCAGGTATTATTTCTTTGAATTCGTAACTTATCATATATTTTACTAAGTATTATTT